TGGAGGTGGCCGATATGTTACGTCTGACATTTTGGCTACACCAAATACCGCTGGCCCTTCAACATCGTCCCGATCACGAGCCGCTGCGCGCGAAGCTATCAATGGCCCTTCACCATCTCTCATGCCCCGGCGCGAACGAGGGGCTCGCACACGAGCTGCTGGAAACGAAGATCTGGAAGAAATGCAATGGGGTTCAGCTGCGGCTATGGCGACAGCGGTAAAGCAAGCTGAAGACTACAAGCCTCGCGAAGAGCGCAGTTGGGAAGACTTCCATCCTAATTTAGATATTGAGGCCACTTTCCTGGTCCTTCGATCCGAGCAAGTCGATGGAATCCCTCAAGAGCAGCCAGACATGTCGGCTATCCCAATGCTCACAACACCCTTGGACGAGACCAGGACCCCTTCGAGACAACCGAACCCCGCATCAACCGGGAACACTCCAAATCCCCAAGGTCGTTCAGACTCGAATGCCGCCGATGCTCCCACAGAAACTCCCTTACGTCGCCCTCGTCGACCGACTCGAGACGTTGTCAGCTTCTACAGTAGTCGACCTTTGGATCTCATGACAACACCAAAAACACCAAAGATCCTTCCTATTCAAAACCAAACCCCGAAAGAGAAACTAGACCTCAAGTTACCTTCATACCGTAAGACGAATCGTATTGAGCTGTTCGAAAGTAAAACCTTTGGTCAGGCTCGTTATGTTGACAAGGCGATGAGCAATGTCGGTTATCAAGAAAGCGACCATTATATGCGACCAGATCAAGCTTTAATCAAATCCTCCGACCTCCACGCTGAAGATGACGCAGACTTGACTGATGCCACTGCATCTGAAGAGCCGGTTTCCCATCGACGAATTGGCCGTGTAGAGTATGACATGGACGAGCAGGACGACATGTGGCTTGAGCGATTGAATGTTCGTCGTAAGGAAGATGAACTCGAGGAGATAACACGAGAAATTTTCGAGATCACCATGACGAAAATCGAAAAAGAGTGGCATGCGTTAGAGAGGCGAATACCAAAACCTAACCCTAAACCGCCTCAAACTCATCGTCCCCGATCAAGCTCGGCTGCGGCAGTCAACGGTGAACCGCAGGGAGGCGAAGAGCCTGACTCTAGATGTGCCATTTGCGATGATGGAGACTGCGAAAACACCAATGCAATCGTGTTCTGTGATGGTTGTAACCTCGCAGTCCACCAAGAATGCTATGGAGTACCTTTTATCCCAGAAGGCCAGTGGCTATGCCGCAAATGCATGCTTTGTGGTCGAGGAGTTCCAGTAGGTTGACTTCAAATCATATGAATAGGCTTTTATGCTAACTTGCACAGACTTGTATTTTTTGTCCCAACACTGACGGAGCGTTCAAGCAAACGAATTCTTCCAAATGGTCTCATCTCCTTTGCGCGATGTGGATTCCTGAGGTATCTTTAGGGAACCATACATTTATGGAACCTGTTATGGATGTAGAAAAGGTACCTAAAAGCCGGTGGAAACTGACATGTTATATATGTCGACAACGGATGGGCGCCTGCATCCAATGTGGAAACAAAAACTGCTACCAAGCGTTCCATGTTACATGTGCTCGGAGATCCCGGCTGTTTCTTAAAATGAAGACGAGTCAGGGTGCCCTCGCCGTATTGGACGGCGGCATGGTTCTTAAGGCGTTCTGCGACAAGCATTGTCCGCCCGACTATGCACAGGAGCATAACATTCACCAGGCCACAAAAGCCGCCAAGAAGTTCTACAAGAGAACCATGAGAAATCGCATCTGGGCCGACAACACCGTCACTGCAAACAACATTGCCGCGCGGCACCGCGATGCGCTCGCTGAACAACCATCAGACGAATCGCAGCTCACAGGAAACAAGAATTCTGCTTCTGGTGACAAGAAGAAAGGGCAGCCCCCAAAGAACTTGTGGAAGATGCCTTCAGGTGCGCCCGTTATACCCCAGGTAGTATTCGAGATCGTGGAGGCTTCAATCCAAAGATTTCCTTTCCGTAAGCGTAAGGATTTCTTGAGTGAGGCATGTCGCTACTGGACCCTCAAAAGGCAGAAGCGCCGTGGCGCTGCACTCCTAAAGCGTCTGCAGCTCCAGATGGAATCGTTTTCCTCAATGGAGTTAACACGACGAGACTTCGCGGCAATGGGCCCAAGCGGAAAGGCGAGATTGACTCGACGTATCGAATTCGCCGAAGACTTAGTGAAAGAACTAGAGCAGCTCAAGAACCTCGCAAATCAAGTTGTTGAACGAGAACAGATCAAGGTGGATGCCGGTGAGCTCGAACAAGAATTTGTGGATGAGTGTTATTTTCCTGTCGCAAAACTACTCGACCCTGCCATCGACAGGGCGATATCGTAAGTCCAGCCTTCACTACAGCTTGTGGCAAAAACTGACTGGTTCAGATTGGACAAAGACCTCTTCAGCGACGGCCTAGACAAGCTACAAACTCGCATAAACACCCGATTTTATGTGACAGTAATGTCGTTTGCTGTAGATTTATGCAAGGTTATCAGCGATGGCGTGGCTACGACACCTCAACTTAAATCATCTACGGACGCAACTCAACACGAGTCAAATGATGCGTCGCCTGCCAAGAGCGCATTCTCTGATATTCGAGAACGACGGAAATTGGGGAGGCGGATATTAAAAGCAGTACAGCCGTTCCTCGAGACCGCTTTGCGAGTTGAGTCTGAGATCTCTCAGAAGCCATTCGAGGGTTTACAGAAGGAGTTGGAGGACACTATCGACAAGAGCGTAGAATCTCGTCGTCCACTGACTGCTACAAACCAAGACAAGTTGACGGATCCTTCCGATGAAGCGAATGACACCATCATGGTAGATGCTGAACTCCAAATCACTGTCAAGGCTGATTCGACCGAGGGCGGAGATGCAATGGATACCACGTCGGATGACGGAAATATCGACGTGAGCACTAATATTGATGTGGACACTTCAGAAATCGCAAAGGCGGAAGCAGGAGAGAAGCAGGAGTCCCTCCCTAACACTGTGCAATCATCTGATACGCCTCCTGGCACAGATGGTTATGTGTTAAAGCCTCAGACTGTGCAGTCAGGGCCACCTACACCACCTCAGTCCAATGGCAGCCTCGGGTTAGATCCCTCAGACCCGCTTACGGATGGAGGGATACTTTGGTATCTCAAAGTGCTCGACCCCAAGGGGACTTCGGTTCTTGAAGAACAGTGGGCTGGCAGGGATGCTGTCCGAACGCTCAGCGAAGATCTGACGGATCTTGATGATGAGGCACTAAAAGGGCTGGGTATGGATGTCGATAACGCAGTGGCATCCGCTGCCGTAGAAGCGGATGACAAGGAAGAAGTCGAGGCGGTAGCGGAACCCGTGAGTGGCAAGACCAGGGCGAGCAAAGCGAAGAAGCGGAGGGCATCAACCCGGAGACGATGAATCATAATGGACAGGCGCATTGGGGTAGCAGACTCATTACTGAGTGGTACTTTTTGACATGTTGATTTCCGGTTGCATGGGATTATTTCTTGAGACTACAAAGGGCTATACAGAGGCACTCGAGCTTGGCGTTCAAAGGCAGGATGGACACAATAACTACGGGGTTATCTCTTCTTCTTTTTTCCCGAAGGAATCATGGGATGGGAAAAGGCGTTGGCGGAGGGCTACGCAATGGAATGCGAAAGCCAAAGGGCTAGCCCAGCGATGGACTGTTTGAGAATATTTTAAGCCAAGAGCTACGATATCAATGCGTAAGACTAATTAATGATAGTGGGTTGTTTATATTTGACATCAAGACGAACTTTATCAAACTCGAGTGGTATTCCAATACTTCGTAACTTAACCTAGAGTACTTGAACAATGTACTATATAGAACCTGAATCAGCCAGCCATCAGGGTTTCAGAAAAAATTGGCGGCTATAAGTATAAGAGACGAAATTAGTATGTTAGTTTACGTTACTCAGGCTATACTTATTTGATTATTTATTTTTGGACCCTCAGACTTAGCAGGCCAACTTTTCTGCTACCCACTATCTAGGTAGCATTTTCATCAACAGAGCAAAGTATAACAAGACAAAGACGGGCGGGCGGAAACTAACAGTGACATGTTCGGGAATTTCTAGTCAATCATATCACAGAGGAGGTCTCTCATGATGGAAAAGTGTGTCTTTAGGCTGTTAGCCGCGCTGATCAGAGCAGAACGTGTGCAATTGCGATATCACGTGACATATCGAGATGAGCAGCTGGATGAATGATGCCATTTTCTTGATATGACGAAGTGCCACACTCGTTCGTTCCAATTGCTTGCCTCAATATAGACTTTAAGAGACAAGCTTGCATTATCGTACACCGGCTGCATGTTTAGCGGGGCATGGAAATGTTATCCTGACGCAATGCGGTTGAGGGAAAGCTGATGGTCGGTGAAGGGTTGGGGTTGTTTTTTTATTACCGAAAGAGTCGAAGGAGGGACAAAATAAGTTACATATGAACGATTTGTTACCGTCTATTTTGATGACTGACGTGTCTGAGAGCAAGAGTGACAAGCTGTGGTGTACAGATGATTAGATGCTACCCTCGTCGAGCTTACGTGGGATCAATGGTTCAACCGTACTGCGATGATTCCATTGTGGACTGAGCTTAACTTTGTAGAGCTAGTCCTCGTATACACCGGGGCCTTAGTCTTGGTTTGGTGTTTCCAGTTGTTGAGGGAAAACAGAGCGAGAGACGGTTGAAAATGATCAGCATGTTTTACAGAAAACGGGCATGTGCCGTGATGTGTTTGTGGAAGCCGAGTGGCAACATTTAGGCCGTCTAATGTATCGATGTTAAGAAATCCCATGGGGTTTATGGAGATGCTCCAGAAATACAGCCCGCGGACGAGCTTGACGTGTAGGTTTAGAGGTACAGAGTTGCAGTCAAGATCGGTGTCTACCTAGACATAGGTATGTCGTGGCATTATCAAGACGACATCTATTTGCTATAACAAACGATAAACTGCACGAACACAGAATTGGGATTGGATGTTACGTATCCGATCGCAATACGACTTCAGGTTCTTCCATATCCTTTTTATATGGATATCCATTCATGGCTAGAAATGTATGGATTTTATTTGAGCCAAGGCCCCCCTGCTGCTACTGCGCTTCACGTCGAATCAGCTCTCCCGAACTAAAACGCATGCGACAGCTTCTCTCTCTCATGTATGTATTATTATCAAGGTGGCTAATGAGCGGAGAGGTTTTGATATTCGGTACTGTTGGACTGATTGAGATAAGAAAGCCGAAAGAGGCTGAGCAGTATGAAACTGATATTTGGATTGACTTGAATTAAGCGCCGACGAATCCGGTCGCTAAAGCTATGCAGTAAGTCTGAAAGTTGAGACGCCCCTTTTTGTTTGTCTGCCCCCCCAACTTTCTAATGAACTGGACATTTTCTTCTGCAGAATGGGATGCGGAAGTGAGGGTATCCATACTTGGGCATCCAAAGGGCAGCAAGCAAATGAGACCTTTTAATAATAGACAGAAGGAAATGAGACGTTGATTTCAGCCAAGCAAGCGAGACAAGTAACCCAGGACGACGTGTACATACAGCTACTGACGAAGCAACTGTGGAGGGACTCTGAAGTCGCAAGATGAGTTACGTTCCAGTCTCTTGTTGTCGCATGTACGTTTGCTTGATTGTCGAGAGAGCCAAGCTTTCATGAGGTGACTTTGATGTGAAGATAGCCATACTGTAGGATGAATCAAACCTTGCTTAAGGTATGTATAGAAAGAGGTGCCCAGACAGCTCCGAGAGTCAATGGACCGGGCTCAATTATAGCGGCCTCCCACTAGAAGCTGGCTACAGCTCAGCAGTCCCAGCAGCGTTGCCATCCCTGTAGTCGCATCCCCAGAAAGCTCCCGAGTCCCATTCCAGCTCATATCCAATCCTCGGGCCCTGTACTAGCGTCCTTTGAGCCAAGGCAGGTACCGTCGCAGGCAGCCCCAAACGCGGGTACTACAGAAGGTCTGGGCTTTTTTTTTTCTTGTAGTGGATGGCTCTAGCTCGCAGTTTGCTTTTTGGTGGTATCCGTAAGGTGGTGGTGACGAGGGCCTTAGTAGAGACGATGGACTGGACTGGATGGGTAGTAGTAGGTGAAAAAAATATCCCCCTCCCCCTTCCGTTCTGAGAAAACCTTCAACCCTTCAAACTCAACCCGACGACGACCGAGACGAAGACGTTACCTTACGTTTATCACCGTGTTAGCCCATCGCCAACACGCTCTGCGAATATATTCCAAGCTGCCCATCTTCGTGAAGAGCTGCTTTGATTAACCCTGCTCCGCCATTTACTTTGGCCCCAGACGACGACCGACGAACCACCGTGTCCGTCCTAAAAAAACCGACTCCAAATTCACTGATCGCGCGCCCGCTTGGCTGCCCCAACACAAATACAATACAAGACGACGACAGTACGACGACGAGAACATTACTTCTCATCTTCAAAAGAAAAAGAAAAGACGATCGAGTGGCCTGTTTGCTACTCTTGACCTGTTTATTGTACAAAGGCGACGAAGCGTCACATATTTGTTGACGCATACCTATTATCTCGGACGAGGATAATAACAAAAACTCGCGTTGACGGTGTTTTGTTCTATTCTCCTCTCTGGCTTGCCCCCATTTTCTGACGCCCTGTACCTACGTCTCTTTCTGGTACAGTTATCAACAACCAAAGTCGGTGGCCCACTGCGGCAACCACGACGACGACTGTTCTTGTCCCTGTATTTGACGTGATCTGATTGCTTTGCAATTCAATTCAATATCGACAATCTGCTTGATTCGCTCCTCTGCTCGATTCGCTTTCAGCTCTCGAAAGCTTCCGCAGCTACAACAAAGCCTCTCGCTGATAGAGAGACGTGATCCCTTCACGGGTAAGTTTCCATTTGGTGCGCCCCATTCATTCATTGCTCTCTCGCTGGCTCGCCGCGCCGTCTCGTCTCGTCTCCCCTCTTGTTCCCCTCCCGCACTACCTACGCACCTTGTCTGGCTTCTCCCCTCCAAATTTTCTGGGCTCTCCTTGCTGTTTCCACCATCGCAACACAACCCATCTTTTGCCTCAATATCCATCGTCAAATTTTCACGCTTTGTGTCGGTCAAGGCGTTTTGCGAGTTTGGAGACAATTTTTTCACTTCCATTTGTCTTTTTCCTCCGTCTCTCTTTATCTTGTACCTTATTGCTTCTCCGGTTTCACCGGCTGACTCGGCCAGGTTTTTTGTGAGGTGCATCTATCCATCTGCTATCATATTCCACTCGACAAGTTACCCCCGCAGTTGTTCTGATTAGCGATCTTGACTGCCGCCTTCCTCCTCCCCCACGCGACCCTCCCTCATTTCTACCGCGGGCTCGCTCTCGCCAGCAAATACTCTCGAAATGGCAGACCAACACGAGGTCGATCTCGACTCCATAATCGACCGCCTACTCGAGGTGCGAGGCAGCCGGCCTGGCAAGCAAGTCCAGCTTCTTGAAGCTGAGATTCGATACCTTTGCACCAAGGCCCGTGAGATCTTCATTTCTCAGCCTATCCTCCTTGAGCTTGAGGCTCCTATCAAGGTAAGTCTTTTTCTTCTGTTTTTAGTGACTCGGCCTTTTCAACTGGAGAATGCTACGACGACTTCTTTACCGTTATATTGAACATGGGGCAACCAAGAGAATCAATGAGCTGACCTGCCTTTTTGCGCCTTGTTTAGATCTGTGGTGATATCCACGGGCAGTACTACGATCTTCTCCGACTCTTCGAGTACGGTGGCTTCCCTCCTGAGGCCAACTACCTCTTTCTTGGTGATTACGTCGACCGAGGAAAGCAATCTCTTGAGACCATCTGCTTGCTCCTCGCCTACAAGATCAAGTACCCCGAAAACTTCTTCATCCTTCGAGGCAACCACGAGTGCGCCTCTATCAACCGTATTTATGGATTCTACGACGAGTGCAAGCGTCGCTATAACATCAAGCTGTGGAAGACCTTCACCGACTGCTTCAACTGCCTTCCTATCGCTGCTATCATTGACGAGAAGATTTTCACCATGCACGGTGGTCTGAGCCCTGATCTCAACTCTATGGAGCAGATCCGCCGGGTTATGCGCCCTACTGATGTGAGTACATTCTGCCTCGTGCAAACTATGAGGCGCACTGCCCCTCGGATTTCATACTGACGTACCCCAGATTCCTGACTGCGGTCTTCTCTGTGATCTTCTGTGGTCTGATCCCGATAAGGACATTACTGGATGGAGCGAAAACGATCGGGGTGTCTCTTTCACGTTCGGTCCTGACGTTGTCTCGCGTTTCCTCCAGAAACATGATATGGACCTTATTTGCCGAGCTCACCAGGTTGTTGAGGATGGCTACGAATTCTTCTCCAAGCGCCAGCTGGTTACACTATTCAGTGCGCCCAACTACTGCGGTGAATTCGACAATGCTGGTGCTATGATGAGCGTTGACGAGAGTTTGCTGTGTTCTTTCCAGGTGAGTTTCAAGAACAATCGTTTTGACCCGGAGGATGCTAATATTCCCCCCCAAACAGATCTTGAAACCCGCTGAAAAGAAGCAAAAGTATGTTCAACTGAGTGGCAGCAGAAACACGCCAACCAACTCCCCTTCCAAGTCTAAGAAATGAAGAATTTATGCCAACAATTTTTGCTCAACAGGTTCGGACGACGTTAAATGATCGCATCCTCGACCGACGTGGATGACCACTGCGACGAAGAACGAACGACTCGACTCGGGACTTGTCTCGATCGAAGCGCACCCCCAATCTCCGCCGTCTCGCAGCTAGCCTTGCCACCTGTGGTGGTAGGGAATGTTGGTTCACTGGGAGGGTGACGGAACTTAAGAGGCGCCGGACCGCGACGCTGATTTTTGCGAAACCCGAATCGTCTCTAATGCCTATATGCGAACTTGATAACGACAAACGGCTGTTTCTTAGCTCCACAGATAAAACATTGACAAGACTTGTTTTTTGAGTTGCACACAGTCCTCGGATTCCATGCATATGATCCACGGGACAGGCGATCTGATGTCATATGTCTGCTCCGCGTAGGCTGGCCCGTGGACAAACGTAGTTCGGGAGGCAGGTGATATATTTCTCACTTTATTTCTTGTGATGAGGAGGATAATCCATTGACGGTTAATCTGGCTGGGAGCGTTTTAACGGTCATGTTGCATTTCATGGACGAGGTTTGTATGGTCTTATTCGTTGCTCAAAGGCAACCTCTGTATACGTTTTGTGCTTTTGGCTGGGTCTGATGAGGGAGGAGACATCGTTTGCTTGATTTTGCTGAGTGATCTGGAAGCTGGTGGAAGTTGACCAGGAGGATAGAAAATGTTAATTGCTGTATGAATTGTGGGCTAAAAAGAGATTTCGCTATATTCCTGAGTCTTGTTAATCGCCTTTGTTTCCGAGTCCAAGTCTGGAGGAACGTGCTTGGTATATGGAAACCAGCCACCGCTACAGTTGGTATTGCCCATTGTCCTGGGAACTGTAAGCGGGTGTACTCCTGTTTATACACGAGTAACGATGAGGCTTTGGGTCCCAACTGGCCCTGTTTAATGTCACTGCGCACTTGTGGCATCATAATTCAAGTTAAGGCATTCAAACCGACTCCTGATATGAACATGTTATTGGCAGTCCTCGCACTTCTTCCCCTCGGCCTGGGCTGTCTTCTCTTCCACTGCATCATCATTATTCTTACCCCCATCCTTCGTCTTTCCGTAATCCTTGTCTACATGGCCCAGATCCCTTTCCGGCTCAATGACATCTCTTACCCTCCTCTTGAGCTCCTTTGTCTCGGGGAAGCCCCCATCTTCTCGTCGGTCCCAGAGAGTTTTTGTGGAGGCGGTCTCTGCCCCCGGAGCCTGGTGGGTGATGGAAACGATAAATGTTCCGCCTGTGGAGGGCTGGAGAGCGACTTCGCCGAGGCCTGTCGAGAACGTGGACAGTAATTCTTGAGCGTACTGAAGAATGTCAGCCTTTTGTTCATGGGGCATGCCATATTATATGTCTCATTAGTTGAGGCAGGGTTAGCTAACTTACATATGCTGCTCTTAGCATCCATTTACACTGCGTGCAAAATTGGATAGAGACACGGGGAAGAGGCGTTTGGCTGGCCATGCTTTTCGTATCGATCGATGGTTGTTAGCTTCTATGTAGTCGGTTCCGGGAACGTCGTGGTCTGTTTCTTGGCTGAGCCGGCTCTGATTTGACTTTTTATTTCCTTTGCGACTGCGGCGTTGGGGTTCAGAGTTTCGGCTATAGCAGCAACTCAATGCTTCCCTAGCGGCGATCCCGATGTCCGTTTTGACAGGTGAGAATCGAGGAGAGATTCAGGAATAAATATGAAGACAGACAGAGATAGATATGAGGAAATGGGCGGGTTGATGGTTTAGACACAGTGTTGCTGATTAGCTGATGTAATTGATGCAAGCCTCTTGGTCGAGAGCTCGACCCAGATGATCCACTTGACTCGCTCTGAGGTTGATCGAACTGAACTACGAACGTTGGATCGGGTGGGGTCGGATGAACGCAAGCAGAGTCAAGTCATGCTAATACAGAGGGAGGTAGCGAATAATGGTTGAAAACGACAAGTCAGGGCAATTGATATGCAAGCCATATAAAGAAAAGTTCACGGCAACATTCAAGTCAAAGACAAGCAATTGCAGACAGGTAATTAAGCCTAGTACAAACGTTGAAAATTGGAATAATTAAACTCGTCGACTCATTGACAAGAAGTATAAATTGGCTTGGGAAACGTACACGACATGGAAACTAGATGATAACAAAAAATGATAATAAAAAATTGGGAATTATTACATTCGCGCAAAGCCCGATCCGTTAACCGTTTCTTCGAGCCCAGACCCAGACCCCCTTGGTGGTGCTTCAACCTCCCCTCTGCGGTCTCGTGGCAGCACTCATGTCCTATCCAGCTGGAAGAAGCGAGGCATGCGCCGAGACAGAATTAAAATCACCTTGAACTATAGTTCCCCTTGCTCTCTCGATGTTGGCTTTTGTGACCCGCTCAAATGGTATCTTGGGGTATCTCGATCCGGGTCCCTGTGGTACAGCTGGATCATATGTAGGCTTTCCCCCCTTCTGGCGCTTCGTCAGTGGGACAGTTTGTTCCTGACAGCTTCCCCAAATGACTGTCGTGGATGTCGTTGTCGTGTCGCTAGCAAGCGCTTCGGTATCCAGGGCCCATTTCGCCTGTGTTGTGCGAGTAACCCATACTCGGATCTCCTTAATTTACTCCCCTTAAATGCGTCAAAAACATATCAAAATTGACTGCGGCCCTCCTCCAATCGCTGAATCATCGTCGACATTGCGTAGTAGTTGATTTTTGGTAATCCGTAGTGAAGAAAAAGAATTGCAGCGACTGGTATTACATGACCACACAGCAGCCACCAGATTGTTGCGGCGCATAGGGGTCCTCGCCCTTGGGGACAGCGCCCCAGACGGAGGGAACCATATAGTCCCGAGTGCCGTTGCAGTAAGCGATGATGCTGTCGCGAGGTTAGTTACTGCAAAAAGAAAGAGTAATCAAACGCGACAAATTCTGTGCCAACACTGTTTACATACCTCTTTGACGCTGTGCTGACGGGGATGCGTTCTCGCTCAAGATCCTCGCGCAGGCGGTTGTTGAGCTCTGTTAGCCGTCGGAGCTTAAGATCAGCCATAGACTGCTTGTTCTTCTTGATCTGCGAAGGGTCGCCGACATCGCGAGAAGTGTACTGAGGCATCTTGGAACGGGGTACAGAGGTGAATTAAATGAGGGTATTTGACGGAAGAATCACGGCGATTAGGCGCGTGAACACGTTGAGAACTGTCATCAACAAAAGTTAGTCAACTGAGGAATCGATTTCGTCTAGGTTTCGAGGCGTAATGAAATCGTCGCGACATGAACAAAGACCGGACCAGGGAATGGAAATGAACGTGCTCCGGGTCAATCGAATTTCTTCCGTTCAATGCCATTACAGGCGGTTGGTGGAAGAAGTGCCGTTAAACTCGTGGTTGATCTGGTCGCGGAAGAGGCGAATGCTAATGTTGCTCGCCCCTGATTGATGGCGGGAGGCGGGATCGATTGCTTGAGAAATAACTTACGGAGAGTCGGACTCGAGTCAAATGAATGACTTTGAGTGAGCTGAAAGCTTGCGAAGCAGCTGAAGATGCGGACGAGAACGAGAGGATCGACGGTCGGAACGGTATTCGGAGGTTGATGTTTGGGTTAAACGGGTATGTGAAGGAAGAAGAAAAAAGGGTCCGTCGAAGCCAGGGAAAGTGGAAATGGATGGGTAAAGGTAAGGAAGGTAAGGTTTGATGAAGTTTGGTGGCAGAGAACAGGAGCGGGAGAATGTGATGGGAAGGACCCGGGGGATGTTAGCCTGGTAGGGGGGGAAACTGCACCTCACTTCACTGAGTGGAACCCCCCGAGCTAGAGACCTGGAGTGATGGAAGGTACCTACCTACCTACCGCTACCACAACCGCAGCCCACGGGCCTAGTCCAAATCCAGCAGAATTTAGTTAGAACCAATGGTGGGGTCATCAGTAGAGAATTGACCAGTGATTTTCGTCTAGAGGTTGAGTTACTTGGATGCACGGATTTTCTGAATGGCTCGTGTACTGCGGGAGCCCTGGCAGCAACTGGGGGCACAACCTTGCTAGGGGCCCTTTTTGCGGAAGGACGCTCTCATTGCTACTGCAATCCATGGATGTATATAATAAGAGGAGTGCAATATGCTCGGACGCTGATTGTTTGTTCGCAGGAAGCATACATGTATGAAAACATAACACAAACACACAGACCAGGTGGTTGGTACTCAATGTCCTTCTTTTCTTTATGATGAAGTTGGATCTGTATGACTAACTGTCGATGAATAGAATAGTGAAACTCTGATGAGCTCACTCTTCTGTCCTATTTCCAGCATTTGATGAAATTTGTCTCGTCTCCTTATCCCCTTGATCGTCTTAGTCTCCAGGAGCCGAGAAGCTTGCGCCATTGGTTGTCAGCGGGGCTGCGGAGCGGTCTAATCCCGTTGGACCCAAAATCAGGACTCCAATCCGTTTACGTCCAGGCTTCTCATTTTAGCTGCAAAGCTACAGGCACTTGATATTGCCTCTCAGATTGTGAGGAGAGGAACCTGAATCAGCAACCCTCCTAGTCAAGTCTACAGTGGCTGGGGTTGGGCTTGAGTAAATTGTGTTGCTTCTGGTGTTAAAAAAAAGAAAGCCTAGATGGTTGATTGACCAAGGTTGTCATTTCATATTGAGAGCAAAAGCAAGCTTAACATAATAATGACACGCATGTTTCAAACAGCCTATCCCAGATTCCCAACTCAGCTTTCCAGAGGATCGCTGCGAAACCACAATCAATGTATCCGTATCGTCCTCGAGATTTATTCGCCAATAGATAGAAATGACAAGATCCGCCACCAAAAGCACAACCTGGAAAAGACGACATGTCGACTAAAGGTATATTATCTCAAGTGAGGGCACAGGTACATGTTATACAGTACAACAAATGATTGCCCACAGTAGGTAGGGGACGAAGACCAAGCTCTTGATCTCGTCTCGGCCACTTGGTGCAAGCTTCGAGCCGAGGAAACCAGTATCCGAACCGTTCACGGCCTTTTTTTTTTTTTTTTTTTTTTTTTTTTTTTTTTTTTTTGTAAACCGATTCACATTTTTCTTTGAGAAGATCATGTTCGAGTCGAGGCATCCACAGTCTCCGTTTCTGTCACTTCCCGCTCTCGGAACGCTGCAGTAGCGGCCTGCATACATAAAGGGGCTGCTTTAACCTGCGGGTTAGGGGGTCTCCAATCGACTGTGCCTTGCAGAAACCATCACCCAGGAATTGATGAGTGAAAACATCCATTTTCAAGCCTCGGGTATGTTCTGACAAGCCCAAAGTTGCTTTCAGAAACAAAAACCGCCAATGCGTTTGATTTGTTTCTCATATTCCCTCTTTTATCACACCCAGGCCCTTAAATGACATGCTAATAAGCTAGCTAAGAATACAGGATTGTCTGCTAAAGAAGAGCCAATAAAGCTCCACCAGGAATTACTGGGGTTCGCGTCGTGATTAAGATGAGACCCGTCTTGGCAACACAACAAAACTCTCGAGAAGGCTTTAGTCCGACAGGTCACGATACCTTTCTCATTCTCAGGGTTGTAGCCTAGGAAAGGGCTGTGTAGCCCTGTACGATGATTGCTGTACAATGCTCCGTTTCGGATTACTGCGAGTTGTTGCATTCGCGCTGGGACTTAGCATCCGCAAGTGCTCACCAGAGAGTGAAACAATTCTGTATCAAGATGCATAGTATTGCTTTTGTTATGTTACTTGTTATCCAACGGCTCCAGGTCTCTTAGCCTTCCGCTTCCCCCGTATCAACGTGTCTCGGTTGCTAGTCCCGCTTATGAGCTGATTGCTTCGCACCTGTCTTGACTTCCGTGTATCGAGGTGGTCCGAGCCAGTTCACGCCTTCGGCATTTTTACACGATCCGCGGTCCATGTACCTGCGTTCTACCCCTGGCCAGGTTACCATCTCATCTGCCCGTTGTGTGCATCCGTACTCTCTTATGAGCTCGAAGTCCCAAGCTCGGTTAAGTCCTACCCAAGGGTATTACAGTATTGATCAACGCCAAGCTGGGACCACCTGACGCCATTGTCAAGGATATCTCCTGTTGATGAGTAAGATAAATATTGACTGACCTCCCGACACAAGACATATAAGTAGAGATTTCTCTCCTGGGTTGCCAGAGGTTAGCGTTCTGAGTCACCCTTAGTTATCTACGTTGAATGTCACATGAGGTGTGACTGATAGGCGTGTCTTGATAGGTAGACAATCGTGCTATGTATGAGGATAAATTAGTTCGAATCTCCGAACCTAAATTTCGGAAGAGATGCCCACATTTCTATAACACTCCGTATGTCTGCTCCTGTCATCTTATTAAGTATGAAGGTGAGTTCTATAATAAATAGTATTTCCCGTCAATCATAGCTGCTTCTCAGATTGTTGCACCGAAGTGTAAATTCAAGTCCGATTCGCAACAAACCTTATCGTAGCCAGCGACCACGGATTACATTGGTATGTGAACCTCAGACATTAAGAGCACATTTACACAATGACGTCCAACTACCTTGCTCAGAGACCTTTTGTGAATCACTCGAGTAATAGTCAGATTAGCGTGCCGTTTTAAATACGAGTTTCTATAGGAATCCGTGATACTTTTGACATCAAATATACCATCTCTCAAAGAGAGCTGGGTTTACACAACACACCTCTATCTAGCAGCCTGGGTAAGTATATTGATTGATATGTTTTTCATAGGTACATCACACATAATGATAACTTTTCTCTCAAGATTCACGATGGCTTGAGAACTTCTGAATTTCTTCACGATTCACTTGCGTACCTATCGACTTCGCTGAAACACTTTCTGGATAATTGACGTCAATGTCGCTTGTTTTGGATTCCCAGCTGCTCCAAAGCGACCAACTAAATCATCACCCTGTCGACAAGAATTGTGGCTTTTAGATCCAACCAGCCACAGACGGTAAATCACCGCCACAACTTCACATCCGCTGACTCAGCGTGTGAAAGCCCCTCCTCGCATGCTGTAGCGGCCACACACGAAAAACGAAAAATTCATCACAAGAAGGGTGCCTTGCAACACCATCACGAGTGCCGGTCGAATTTCCTCAGCTCTCTCTCCCCACCGGCTGATCGATCTCGGATCATCATCACCAACTCTCCTCTCTTAGTCAAGTTATATCTAGAGGAGGTTGCCCAGCATGGTATGTGAATACCTTCCTTTGTTCCCACCGCCGTGACTCAAGCCCTATCTCCGTTGAAGCCTTACCCCTCCTCCACACTGTATCCGTCATGATGCTGACTTGAAGTTTTCCAACAGCCTCCTCCGCCGCACCAGAAGCCCGAGAATGTTCTCAAGAGGGCCCATGAACTCATCGGTGTCGGTCAGGCCTCCGCTGCCTTGACCCTGCTGCATGAGCACATCACCAACAAGCGATCCCGAAATGTTCCCATCATGTCGCTGGAGCCCGTAATGCTCCTCCTCGTCGAGCTCTCCGTCGAACAGAAGAAGGGCAAGCTTGCCAAGGATGCTCTATACCAATACAAGAACATTTCGCAAAACACAAATATTGCTACCATCGAGGTACGTATATCTATGACAACTTGGATCTAATCGCAAGTCGCTATTGAGATATTTCGGCGCTAATACAAGCATGTACAGTTGGTCTTGAAGAAGTTCATTGAGCTCGCCGTTGAGAAGGTCACCGCCGCCCAGCAAAAGGCCGACGAAGTGCAGGAGAGCATTGACGCTACTGCCGGCACCTCCAACATCGACGATCTCGAAGCCACCGAGACCCCAGAGTCTATCCTCCTCGCTACCGTCTCTGGCGAGCAGTCCCGAGACCGCACTGACCGAGCCATCGTCACCCCTTGGCTCAAGTTCCTCTGGGAGGCCTACCGAACTGTCCTCGATATCCTCCGAAACAACGCTCGTCTCGAGATTCTTTACCAGAGCACCGCTACACAGGCATTCGACTTCTGTCTCAAGTATACCCGCAAGACTGAGTTCCGCCGTCTTTGCGAGCTGCTCCGCAACCATGTCCAGACCGCCGCCAAGTACTCTTCTCAGATGCACGCTATCAACCTGAGCGACCCCGACACTCTGCAGCGACATCTCGAGACTCGTTTCCAACAGCTTAACGTCGCTGTTGAACTCGAACTCTGGCAGGAGGCTTTCCGCAGTGTTGAGGATGTCCATACTCTTCTTAACCTCAGCAAGCGACCTCCTAAGAATGTCATGATGGCAAACTACTACGAGAAATTGACTCGAATTTTCCTTGTGGGAGGCAACCACCTGTTCCACGCCGCTGCTTGGTCCAAGTACTACACTCTCCTCCGCCAGTCCTCTATTCTGGTCGCCAGCGGCCAGGGCAAAAAGTCTGACAACCCACCTGTATCCGATGCCGAGCTCCAGAAGGCCGCCTCTTTTGTCGTGCTTTCCGCTCTGGCCATCCCCGTTATCAGCACCAGCCGATCTCGTGGTGCCATGGTTGACTTTGACGAAGCCAGGAAGAACAAGAACTCTCGACTGACTCACCTTCTTGGCATGTCTCAAGCCCCTACTCGCGCTAGACTCTTCCGTGATGCTCTGTCCAAGTCTCTGCTTCAGCGTGCTCGTCCCGAGATTCGTGAGCTTTACGAAATTCTCGAGGTTGACTTCCACCCTCTCTCCATTTGCAAGAAGATCTCCCCCATTCTGACCAAGATTGGCGCCGACTCTGAGATGGAGAAATATATCCTCCCTCTCCAACAGGTTATCCTTACTCGCCTGTTCCAGCAGCTCTCCCAAGTCTACGAGACTGTTGACCTTTCTTTTGTTGAGAGCCTGGCCCAGTTCCCTGAGCCTTACCAGGTTACTCGTGGCACTATCGAGAAGTTCATCATGAACGGTAACAAGAAGGGTGATCTTTCTGTTCGCATGGCCCACGCCACCGGCGTCTTGAGCTTCGACAACGACGTCTTCTCTTCCTCCAAGGCCAGCCACGGTGGATCCTCTGCTGGCTCTGCTGAGTCCGAGACCGGCACTGTTCAGCGTCTCCAGAGTACCCCCTCTGAGATCGTCCGCTCGCAGCTTACTCGTCTCGCCAAGTCTCTCTACACTACATGCCACTACGTTGACCCCAACTTTAACAAGAGCCGTGCCGAGGCTCGCGAGGCTGCCCTCGCTCGTGCCAAGGCTGGGGCCGAAGAGGAGCATCTTGCCATTCTCTCACGAAAGGATCTTATCCAGAAGCGCAAGGAAGTTGCTTCTGAGATCCAGGCCAAGAAGGAGAAGGAGAATGCCCGCCAGAAGAGACTTCGTGAGCAAGCTCTACAGGAGGCTGAGGATCTGCGACTTCAAAATGAGCAAAAGGAGCGCGAGGCCAAGCGACTCAAGGCCGAGCGTGACCGTGTCCGTAAGGAGGAGCTCAAGAAGCAGATCGCTGATCTCAAGATGGGTGACAAGGCTATCGATATCGATCTGGAGGACCTTGACAACCTTGACAGCAACCGCTTACGTGCTATGAAGCTTGCTCAGTTGGAGCGTGAGAAGAACGATGTTAACGAGCGTCTCCGCATCACTGGTAAGCGCCTCGATCATCTTGAACGTGCTTTCCGTAAGGAAGAATCCAAGAAGCTGTCCGAGGACTATGCCAAACAAGTTGAGGAAGACCGCAAGATCTACGACCAAATGAAGACTCAGAAGCTTAAGGAAGCTGAGCTCAAACACAAGGAGAGCGTCGAGCTTAAGCACCGACTCAGCCGACTGGTACCTCAGTACGAGGAGTTCCGTGACTCCCTGCATGAGCGCCGCCGTGACGAGTTCGAGAAGCGCCGCCGCGACGCTGAGCGAGAGCTTGAGAAGCAGATCACTCAACGTAAGAAGGAGGTACGCGACCGACGTCTCCGTGAGAAGCGTGAGCGTGAGGAGAAGGAGCGTGAGCTTCGGGAGGCCGAAGAGCGCGCTGCCCGTGAGAAGGAGGAGCAGCGCATCCGTGATGAGGCTCGCAAGGAGGAGCTTGCCAAGCTCAAAGAGCAGCGAGAGAAGGAGCGTCAAGAGACACTGGAGAAGGCTGCCCTTCAGCAACGACGTGAGGACGAAGCACTGGCGCGCCGCAAGGCCGAGAAGGCTCAGGCCTCTACTGGCTTCTCTCGTGGACCAGAGCGCACAGAGTCCTCCGAAGCCAGGAAACCTGTGTTTGGCGCTGCCAAGTGGAGAGAGCGTGAGGCTGCCCGTGACGCTGGCGAGGCACCTCCTGCCGAAAGGTCCGATTCTAATGACCGACAATCTGCCGGCGGTCCTCCCAGAATCGCCCTTGCTGGCAACAAGCCCAGTTGGCGAGAGCGTGAGGCTGCTAAACAGGCGGCCGGTGGTAGCGGAGCCGATACTGGATCTTCCGCCCCTCCACCTCGCTTCGCACCCAGGGGTGGTGCGCCACCTATGGACCGAAGCGGCTCTGGCCGTGCTGATGATGATCGAAAGCCGTCTCCAGCTCCTCCAGCGGAATCTCAGCCTGCATCACGAACAGCTGGCAAGTGGGTTCCTCCTCACATGAGGGGCAAATAAGTGGTTAGGGATGGCATTTGCGACTCATGGCGTTAATAGGTTTGCTTCCATGTAGGAAAAGTAGTAGTAGTCCTTATGAATCAATACAAGCGACTAAGCACACGAGCACCATTACGACCGTTTCTTGATTGCGAATCAAAGTTTATAGTTATTCAGGAATAGGTTAGGATTTTGAGGTAGAAAAGCAAATAATGACCTGTTGCAACCTTTTACGAAGAAACCAAGTGCCACGACCCTGGCTAGACCAGTTGTTTATTAGTTTACATTCCTTGTGCCTGGTCGAAGTTTTCCCATGGCTTATGTGGCTGTCAGATTTGAGCCAAAGTCAACGGGTAAATTTAAACGATCTGTTGCCCTGACAGGTACGTAGGTATTGAGTCGCTGAATACCGTCATGGCGGTGTTCTGTTTGGCAGGCATAGGCTTGGCTAGGCTTGCGAATTACAAATACCCGATTTTGCGAGTCAGATGGACTGAAGTGTTGTGTAATATTCCGGTTTGGATGGAGCTGACAGCAAGTGGAGGAAATCAAATAGTCTGAGCTTGAGCTCACGGTAGTCCCGTCGATCAGCCTCGATGCTGCCAATAAGACAGGGCGAGGAGTTCCAACGCCAAGGTTCTACGATACAGCATACACTGCAACAATCTGTTACGATTGAGGTTGTACTGGTCTACAATCAGAGTTTGGTTCCTGGATCCTCGGCATCTTTAGTAACCTCAAGTTTTCAACGGTTCATTCTGAAACTGCAAGCCCTTTGACGAGACTGGCCCTTCTCTAGCATAGACATCCATGCTAAGGGAGACATAGTTTAAGCATGATCAGATTTCCTTGCATGAGGTCAGACTGACCAAGCTGTTGAAGCTAGTAGTGGCACTTCCATGATGCGGCGTTACGCTTCCTTTTGTGTGTTGCCGATCTCAGGCGCGCACTAGATCGAACATGACAAACCCTTTGACACAATGGTAAGCACTTTTCAAACGAGCTTCAAACTGTCGAGTCGTTCCAGATTCAATGATAGTTTCTCGTGTCTTTAGACGGTTCATTGACCCTGGGTACTAACCTTAGTATGTATCTATCTACCTTGGGTACCTACCTGTGTTATGAGGTGTCTGTGTCAGTGTAGTTACAAGTGTCACGTGCGCACTGACTATGCCCATAAGCAACCTCATCTCTTGACCACAGCTTCATCTATAGCACAACACAATGGCAATTTCATCCTCCAATCTTCTATAACGGGAATGGTCCGTTTCTCAAGATCCCCTGGTGGCTAAAAATCCAAACAAATTCATGAGCAAAAGTTTCCTCCATCATTCGTCCAATCTTGACCAAATCCGGCGACGAATGAGACCGGCAAGACCGATCATCAGCCATCTAGATTCTCACGGCATGGGCTTTCCGTTGATTGGCACCAGATCGTTCTCCATCTTGGTAGGGAAAGACTGGAGATGTCGACAAGTTTTGCTGTGCTAGTAGATCGACAAACAACAGGACGCCAGCAAGTGCCAAGTCCACAGCTCAAGAGCCGACCAGGCAAAGTCATGCGGGTCTATGATTCGCGATGTCAATTGCATGGGGCTGATACCGGTTCTTTGGATCCGATCGGAGCCATCTAGACTACCCAGGAATTTGGAATATGGCTATGCGAACTTGTGTTTCGTGGAGACAGTGTCTTCACAGGAACTAGAAGCATATGCTCTTCTCGAGGCCATCGACAGAGGAATCACCACTAATATATCACTAGCATGGTCCAAATGATGCGAAAGATACTGTGTTTTCACTTTGTTTGAGCGCATCCCAACTTCATATCTATGGTAAGGTCAACAATGCTCGCACTGGTTCTCACTCGGCTCGTTTGCCTAGTGCTCTGTTGTGATCTGGCGCTCTTGTAGTGTACCTGTATCCGCTTCTGCAGGACCAGACGGGAGACCTGGAGAAGCCCCGGACGTCTTTGGAGTTACACCAAAGGCCGACCGCCATCGGGCACGTCTGGACCCTTGGCGTCTCCACGTGTTTGGAACTTCATCTTTGAACTTTGTTCCACTCATACTCTCGTGTCAAGACAGCCATCTCAAGCCTCTCGATGCCTCGCCCGTTCAACCAGTACCAACAACCCAGGCCAACGTACAAACCAGACTCTGCCAGCCTCATGCCCCCCACCAAGCCTAACGAGAAAAGGCCGTTACCTCACTAGGCTTGGTCGAACAAGTCTCTTTCTGGTGGAACTTGAATGAAGTCTGGACACTACGATCCTCAAGCTATCATGGTGCATGTTAGGCGCTCCGTGGCGTCTGTCTGCAGTTGCCGTTTTAGGCAGTGCACCTCTAGTTCCACCACTTAGTGTGTCCATCGGTATTGGAGGCGTCTCTTGGTCACCACGATATCATTTAGGGCATTTCGATGTGGTATTGTGGACGAGGACGGGGCTTCCGGCCCCTGAGGCTCATGTTCGGTATGGCTGTAAGTGCAGAAGTTGTTGGAGGTGACAACAAACCGTCTTAGTGATATCAGTTCGGGCACAGAGGATAAATAACCTCGTCCTCCCAGCTCAAAGCCATTCTTTTCTCATCATCCAACAGCAGCTTCTCAAGCAATCAGCTACTCTCACACTCTCTTCTTTCAGCTCACACACTCTCTTTTGTACTTTCGAGTACCACTTTCTTTGAATATTCAGACAGTTTGCAATCTCATCGAGGCAACCAACTCTTACTCTCACTTACAAGAACCTCAACGTTGATCTGCAACTTTCGATCCTTTCATTTGATAACAACATCATGTTCTCGCTTCGAACTGTCGTCGCCGGTGCGACTCTCGCCCTGGCTGGCGTTGCTCAGGCATGGCACACCGAATACCCGCCTTGTCTCGATCCTTTCCAGCCTTACGTCGCCGCTGGATGTTTCCAGGATGGCGTTCAGGGCAGCAACGCTGGTGCGCTCATCTACCGTTCTGGTCAGAACCAGTACAACATGACTGTTGAAAAGTGTGTCGCCGAGTGCAAGGGCAACGGCTTCCGCTATGCTGGTCTCAAGTACTACGGTGTCTGCTACTGCGGTTCAACTGTCGGCGGTGCCCAGCTCGCTGATAGTCAGTGCACTTATCCTTGCACTGGTGATAACACTGAGACATGCGGCAGTGACAATGCCCTCAACATCTGGCAGGATCCTACTTTCAAGACTACCAACCTTGGTGGCGTTGTCACCAACCTTCCCGGAATCGTTCAGTCCATCGTCGGTTACAAGCCCAACGGCTGCTACACTGACAACTCCTCCAAGGGTCGTGCTTTGACCTGGCCTATGGATGTTGATGGCTCTACAATGACTCCAACAACCTGCCTGACTGCTTGTGCTGACCAGGGCTTCCCTCTCGCTGGTCTTGAGTACGGTGGTGAGTGCTACTGTGGTAATGTTCTGGCCAACGATACTGTCAAGGCTGATGTTGGTGACTGCAATGTCCCTTGCAATGGTGACAAGACCCTGCTCTGTGGTGGACCCAGCCGTCTGAGTGTCTACATCTCTAACGATTTGCTGTCTCTTCAACCTTGTGGTTATATTCCTGGCAGCTCTTCCTCTTCCTCCTCCTCTTCTTCTTCCTCTCCCACTCAGTCTTCGACCTCGATCACTTCTGCTTCCACGTCTAGCTCCAGCTCTACCAGCTCCAGCTCCAGTTCCTCCAGTTCTAGCTCCTCCAGTTCTAGCTCCTCCAGCTCTAGCTCTTCCAGCTCTTCCAGCTCTACCACAACCTTGAGCACTGTTGTCAGCACTACTACGAACAACGGGCCTTACCCTCCTCCTTCAAGTACCAGCAAAGGACCTGGCTCTTCCTCAAGCACCACCAATGGTCCCAACCCTCCTTCAAGCACCACAAACGGTCCCAACCCTCCCTCAAGCACCACCAATGGTCCCAACCCTCCTTCTGGAAGCACTACTACTACCTCCTGCACCACCACTACCGGTCCTGCTATGTGTACTTCTACTGTCGTCGTTCCCAACACCTGCGAGTACAAGTGTGGTAACTGGTGCGCCCCCTCTGTTCCCGATTTCCAAGACCAGAACAGTTGCCAGACTGCCTACAACAACTGCGCTAAGAATATTGCTTCTTGCTTCCAGAACGCCGGTTGGCCTGGAGTTCTCAACTGTTTTGACTTCTCCAAGTGGTGCGATGGTGTCCAGGGTTACTGTGCTTCTACTTGCTCTCGTGGTCGCACCTGCAGCAAGGCTGGCTGCTTCAATAACAACACTCCCTCTGGTGGCAACAATGTCAAGACCACTACCAGTGTCTACCCTTGTGCTGCCACTAGCACTTCCACCACTGCTTCTTCTGCTTCCACTTCTTGCGCTCCCCAGCCCACCAACATTTGCTCGCAGCCCAGCTCTCGCATCTGGGGTTACGGTCCTGGCAACCCTGTCGGCGGTATTGAGCTTCCTCTCGTTGCCTGCAACGACTTGAAGAACGACTTTTCCCAGAACCCCTTCAAGCTCTACACCGATACAAACTCCAACTCTTGCTCTTCTTACTCCCGCAACCAGCAATCCAGCGCCTGTGCTGATGCCTGCAAGACCCAGTACAACTCTTGTGTCAACACCTATGTTCAGAGCTGCAAGAAGCTCAACACTCGCAATGAAGGTAACAACTACTTTGACAAGCGCTCGCACTCCCACTTCCACAAGCGTGCCCTTGAGAAGTCCGGCATTGAGCCCCGCTTCTTCAACCTCTTCGGCAATGTTCAGTGGCAGACTGCTCAGACCAAGTGTGGCATCCAGTACACCGACTGCCTTCTTGAGAACAAGAACGTCTACTACAGCAACCGTTGTCAGACCTTTGGCACTGGTGTCTAAGGTTTTGTTTCCAAAGACCTGAAATTTGTGGGGTTGGCAATCAAAACTTGCCAAGGTGTTTGAGTTTGGAATTTGGATAGATCTGTTAGGGATTGGATGGTGTATGGACTTGGGGTGCAGGGTCTGGTTTGTGCTTTCAAATTGGCTGGTGTTTTTGTATTTACACACACTCGCTTGGTTATCTTTTACTAGTCAGACTGTCATTCGCTATAGAGAAGCTGTTTTGTTTTGAGACTTGAATGTTCCACATATAATGTGAATCGTGAATGCTACCTCCTGCTGGGTACCAACTCTTCGTTTCTCTTTATTCTCTTTTTCTCTTATTGATACAACACGATCTTTCCATAGTCTGTTACTTATAGTTGATAGTTTCATTATGAGATGATGTAGTTAGTAGGTACACTCTATACGTGCGTTCACAGTTAATTCGAGAAATCCCAGGCGGTGCTGTAGGGTAGTTTGCCTCAACCTGCCAATTCATTATGTTGATGTCTGTAAATAATCACTTTGTAATGTGTATATTCTGTTAATAGTTCAATATATATGGATGATCTTCATTATGTATTTGAGTTGAAGATGAAGTATTTATTAGCTAATCTCGTTCATGTTAGTTACCTTTGGGTCATGTTTCTATTCCTCAAACGACCAACTTTCAATCATGATAAGAAGTCTCATGGAAGGCTGCAGTTTAGAAGTGTAGACCAGATCTAATCATATACATACGCCAGTTTTATAAGTCGTTTCTCAATCGTTTGGATTGACCTCGATATTTAGCTCTTAATTGATGTGTCTGGTTTAACATATTGATACAGCTGCCACAGTATTTATTATAGACTTTGCTCAGGCTATGCGTTATTGGCACTGTGCAGAACGCGCCAGTCTAGGACATTAGATAAAGCATGTGCTTCCTTATTGTTAACAGCCAACTGTTCTCCTTTCCATAATCGACAACATAAAATCTCAAAATCACTGAAGCTAGGAAGAACCATGGAAGAATTGATACACCAATCCATCGATCTGATGTCGATTTTGACACCAGCACAATGGTGTCAGACTTTCTTCGCCCTTTCTACGGCCATCGTCCTTGGTATCCAAGCCCTCCCACAAGATGTTCGCAGCGCTCTCATGGACTACGGCGCCCGAAGACCCAAAGATGCGAAACACGGAAAGGAGCAAGAAGAAAACGGACAGAAAGCTCTCGTGCCTCTGAGGTCATTTATGAAGAATTTAACAGAGTACGGGCAAGTGCCCCATTCATGGTTCTTGCACTTTTACATTGTTTCGGTGGCCCTGTCGGGTTTCTGGGCGTGGCAGTATCTCACTCAAGGTCATGTACTGAAAAGCATTGTGACGTGGCAGAATCGAGCTGATGGACCGTCCATGAGCCTGGAGCAAATTTTCGTGGCATGGTTGCTCATGGCGTTGCAGGGTTCGAGAAGGCTTTACGAGAGTTTGTTTGTGTTCAAGCCAGGGTCATCACCTATGTGGTTTATTCATTGGGCACTTGGTCTTTCGTACTACATTGCAATGAGCCTTGCTGTCTGGGTCGAGGGTTCCAGTATGTTTTCAATATTCACACCTGGCTACAACAGAAGCTGACAAGTTGCAGGCGCCATTTTAGCAGCCTGGGATTCTCCCTATCAACCTCTCCGGGTTCCACGACGGCTACCTTCAGCCCTAGCGTTATATTTCGTGGCTTACTTCAAGCAAAACCAATGTCACAGACACTTGGCAAGCCTCAAGAAGTATACCCTCCCAAGTGAGGGATGGTTCAAGTATATAATCTGTCCACACTATACTTTAGAATGCCTTGTGTACCTTGCCATTGCATGGATCGCTGCACCACACGGCCAAATCTTCAACAAAAGTATCTTGGGCGCTGTCATGTTTGTGGCTGTGAATCTCGGTGCCACGGCAAAGGGCACCAAGGTATGGTATGAGCAGAAATTCGGTGCAAACAAGGTCGCTGGGCGGTGGCTCATGATCCCGCCTGTCTACTAGCTTGAAACAACGGCCTTTAACGCTTCATGAACAAGCCGAGCTTGTTTGCGACTTTGGATACCTGAAGAACATCCCGATACGTCAAACTTGTGCGGGTTTGACGAACATTCTTGCCACTGGCGAATGCAGTGGGTGAACGAAGGAGGTCCCAGTTCGCAACAGTATTCGCACCAAGGTCGACATCCTCTTCGATATCGGAAATACCGTGTAGATAGTCGGTGTACAGCTGATCAGTAGTGATGAGCAAGCTACGAGGCTCCTGAAGAATCCTCCAAGCAGGCACAGGGTCAAGGGCGCCGTCGTCCTTGCTACGATGCAGGTTCAGGCACAAGCTGGCACCAAGGCTCACTGTACACACTACGGGCCAATACGCGGCACCATCCTATGTAGGATGAGCATGAAAGAGTATAATATATCACTTGATGTTTACTCAACTTATGCGGCATGATACCAATGCCAGGTGGATATTCGTTGATTAGAACATGGTTTGGCTTGTGGTGTGGGCTCTCGGAAAAGACATGGCCTGGTTCTGAATCTTTGGTTGGAAGTGACAACAGACGCGATATGACAGGGTCCTGAAGCCACGCGGGAAGAGGCGCATCAAGTAATTTGTTGTTGACAAGGTCCGACGGCCATGTTTGAAGACGTCGCTTCGTCAGTTGTTTCCATCTCGGCTTAGGCGCGGTGGATATCTAGAGACAGACTTCAGTGACGAACTAGTTGTTGCGATATCAAAGGACACACTTTATCCAGGATCATTTGCTCTTCTTTTTCGGAGATAAAGTTGGGTATATAATATGCGGTTTGGGGTAGAGAGATAATGCGAGCATGTTGCAGCGACTCAGGAAGCAGTATATGGCTCCTGTTACTGCTAGACGAGGCAGACTGTGATGTCTCCATCATGAATTTGCTTTTGTCGGGTACATTCGTGTGTATGTGGACTGCGACTATCCGTATTAGAGTAGACCTTGTCAGTGATCAGTCGTGATGTGATTAATTTCACACATTAGGAGTTTGATAATGGTTGGTGATTTAGCTAAGATCAGCAGTTATGGAATTGGTAGGTGGTTAAGTGGAGAAACTCGAGAATTGTTAGTGGCTACCTCCAAGATTGAAGAAGGCTGGATAACCAAATCCTAGTTCCGACGAGATAAATATGGGGTAATAACAAGCCAGGACTTGTATGAGGCAAAGTCTAATTGACCTGGGGAGTTTGCTCCTTACCTGGTAGATAAATAGTTCCTTGAAGTTGTTATACTAGCAATATCGTCCATGGGAGTTATCTATCGTGTTATGAACTGATTATCTTTAAAACTTGCACGTTTGATCCAATCAGAGACAACTTTGATGGATCAAGGTGTCATCTTCAAGTGCCTTAGCAACAGGGGGTTAAGACCACTAAATGGGTATCACTAACGCAAGTAGGCTCCAGTGGGTTTGTCCCCAAAGTCAGAGTCAGAGGACGGGCCAGGCATGCATTATTGAACTCCACTGGAAGGTCAGTCAACAATAGACCTTGGACCTACAGCCCGACAATACAGCAGTATTTGGTCAGAGCCCGCCTTTTATGCTTTATGCTCTGTAGATAGTAATCAAGTACTTTGCATACACGCACAGACTCAATGTTCATGTCACACGCTCCAAAATAACCCCTTCTTTTTCTTTTATGCTCAAATTGAAGCCTATCGACTTTCGCCTTTGATTGGCTTAAAAGTACGGTCAATGACTCTATGTGTGACCGTATCTTACTCGCCCTAGTCTTTCTACCCGGACAGACTAAAAGACAGTACGAATGAACGATATGATGGGGCCAATAAGACCCTTTCTTGGAGTCCGGGGCCTGGCTTCCATTGCCTAGGCTTTGCCTTTCTCTCTCTTCCACTTTTGTTCTCAGTCAATCTCGCTCTCGCCTCGTCTCATCTGTCTTACTTAGCGGTCGCCCTCACTCCTCTCTCTGGGCAAACACGCCGTATACATTAGACCGTATCTCAATACCTACGGACGTCCACGGATACCACAACGTAACTCTACCTAAAACAAGGTTTACGTCTCCATCCAGTATCGGTCCTCCGTTGCCAATAAGCCTCCACTTTCAATTCCAATTCTACTCTACCTTCAATCCGAAACCCAACATTCTCATCGTCTCCCATTATCCACATACAACAATAGTCGACGCCATCTTCTCCTCATTTCGACTTCTCGAATCAATTCTGTCATTGCGCATAGCCTTTGGTGTTTTTCTCCGCATCTGCTTCGTGCGTGTCTTTTGACTGCGCCCGTGTTCTTTCGCTGCCTCATTATCGCGCCCGCCCGTTGCATCCAGCTCAATTCATTTCAAAATTCACTTCTAGGTTTAAGGCATACGCATCAACAACCGCGCGAGTTTATCGCCAGCCATCCTCAGCTTTGATAGTCATCACCAGAATGGTGGTAGTCGCTAGTCGTCCTCGCAGGTAAATGTCATGGATGCGCAGAATGCTGCCCAGTCCGACCAGACGAGGCCTGCTGGCGACTCCCCTCATCAGCGGCCTGAATCAAAACCCGAAACATCGAAGTCGACACCGCCGCCAGTAAGCTCAAAACCTTCCGAGCCCACTGGCAAAGACAAAGACAAAGACAAAGACAAAGATGCCCGTCGGAACGCGAATTCTTCATCTGTAGTCGACCAAGATGCTTCCGAAGACCGCGATTCTGATGCAGAAACCATCGTGCTGCCAGGCAAAGATGGCCACTCCCCATCAAAAGCTCGAAAGGTGAGGCAGGAGGACAAAAGTGACGGTGACGGCGATAATTCCAAGTCTTCTATCAAGGCTGCTGGCTATCGCCCCCTAGAGCTTGAAAAGCAGGCATCATCTATCCATGCCCGTGGCGACCCTGTCAAGAATAAGCGCACGCCTGCTCATCTCGAACGCGAGAAACTATCACGAGGTAAAGATGCGGCTGCCTCGAGCGGCTTGAGCTCTGCGCCCGCGTCACCGCCGCATCATCGGCAACAGCAGCGTCGCCGGTTTGTTGAGGACACACACTCGTCTTCGGATTCTGAATCCAACCCTCTGATCCCTCGCAAGTTACATGTCAAAAAGCCGAAATCGAGTGAAGCTTCTGTGCCTAACAAGCGGAAAAGCCTCAAAGTTGAGTCCGACGACGAGGGCGAGGGTCGCAAAATCAGGCGACAACGAACAACCAGTGTAAGCATCGATTCGACTCGACTGCCAAAAGAGCACAAGCCTTTCCCGGCAAAGACACAACATGATTCGCAAACCCGATCTATTTCCCCACAGTCTCGAACACACCGACGAAGTGCTTCATCCCAACTACCTTCTTACACATCCAACGGCTTTGGTCAAAAGAAGCGGCGCCTGCCGCCCCCACTGCACTCGACTGACTGGCACTCCGACGATTCTTCTGCCAGTGGCAGCCCCCACCCTCGCAGCTCTAAACTTCGTAGCCTCGCAACGCCCGCCACCGATACAAATGCATCCCCCGCAAGAATGGCCCCTCATAAAAAGCATCTTGATGCTCATGGCCAAACCTTCTTGGCCCGCGCTTGCGCACGAGGCGAATATGAGGGAGCCAAAACACGCTTGACCGAAAGACCCGAGGACTTAAATGTTGCCGACTACGCCGGAAATACGCCACTTCAAATTGCAGCTATTAATGGCTGCGAAGATATCGTCAAACTTTTGATCGATGCTGGATGCAATCTGGACTGTGTCAACTACGACAAAGACACACCACTGCTGGACGCAGTCGATAACGGTCATCTGGGCGTTGTCAAGCTATTATTAGAAGCTGGTGTTAACCCCCGAAAAGCAAACGTCAACGGTGAGGAGCCCATCGACCGTGTGAGTGAGGACACGGATAACGCGGACGAGATCAAAGCTGCTCTCATGGCAGCGAGGAAACGAGTGGGGGATCGAAGGCGCACTTCGGAAGAACACCACTCGCACCAAGACCAGGATGCCAGGGACTCGCACGCGCCAGATAGCCCACGTCGATCGCCTGCCACAAACTCTGGATCAGGCCGGAGAACGGGAACCGTGCGCGCAACAAAGACGCGAAACGATCTCTTGTACATGCCCCTCGATGAGAAGACACTCCGGCAGGCTGCGGGAAGAGGAGACGAGGAAACTGTCGCCCGCATTTTGCAAGTGAAGGAGGGATTCAACGACCCCGAGTCTATGGTTGCTGCAGCACGAGGTGGACATGATCTGGTTATTCAGTTACTCCTGGGTCTGGGTGGCGCCAATCCCGACCCGCGACCTGTCTACAATGCTCAGCCAGAGTTTGCGACCCCGATACTCGCAGCGATTGGCCAGGAAAACATCAAAGTGGTCGAGTTACTGTTAGAGCAGGCTGGATTCGATCCTACTAGGAGGTACAAGGGCGAAACATACTACGAGATCGCCCGACAGCGTGCAGGCCCGAATTGGAAAGATGAAGAGCACATGCTGAAGAATTCCTATGACGAGTACAAGAGAAGCCACAAGGATTCGGCCAGGACAAAATCACCAACTCGACGCGAACGAGACCAAGAACGTGGCGATCGTGAAGAGCGAGAAGCTAAGCGCGCGCGACGTGTGGACACGAAAGACAAGGAGGAGGGCCGACAGCATAAACGAAATCTCTCCAGCCCCGAACCGAAGAAAAAATCTGCAGCCTCTAAGCTCACAAGCCCAAGAGAAAAACGACGATCCAACTCTATTACAAATCAGGGAGATGAGAACTTGAAGCGTGGCCCAGGACGACCTCGAAAAGAAGACCGTATTCCATCCATCAATGTCTCCGACCGCGAAGTGTCTCCAACGCTTTCCCACAAGCAACTCAAGGCCAAGCATGCCGACTCAGACGCTGCTGGTGTATCCTCTGAAGGCGAAACTGTCAAACCCAGGAGGAAACTTGTATCTAAAGGCGAGCTTCGAGGAGAACGCGAGCGACAACGACGCGCCAGCATGGCTTCGAATGCTTCGTCTTTCAAAGACCCTCCGACAAGCCCTCACGAGTCCAAACATGAGGAACCGGCAGACAAGCATGACAAACACGACAAGAATAGGGTTGAGAAACTGTCCGAGAAGTATCATGATCGAACCAAGGCACTCAAAAGGGACGAATCTCGAGACCGTTTGTCGGTGTCTGGTGACGGATCAACTAAAAGGCACCGTGCTAGCATCACACCTGATCGACCAAGTAATGGCGATAAGGATGACAGCGAACTCCCCTCTAAACGTCGACGTCTGGAAGGCGAAACAAAAGAGAAACGTCAGAAACAAGCTTTGTCCTCCGATGAGAGACCTCGTAAATCCAACAATATCCAGGACTCCTCCAAGCCAGCAGCCAAGTCGACACACAAGAAGCACGATGATGATAAACGCGAAAGGCGCGCCAACTCCCATCGTGCTGATATCGATCGTGCCAGCAGTGTTGAAAGACAAATCCATGTCAAGTCAGAGGACACTGACGTGGAGATGAGAGATGCTGATTCTATCAAGGCTGTGTCAGAGTCGGAACTGCAAGCAGCTCGAGCCAAAGAAGCCAAGGATGCCGAGCAAGAAAAGCAACGACAACTCGAAGCAGAGACAGCCAAGAAGGAAGAGTTGCGAAAGAAGGAGATGACACGAAAGAAAGAAGAGGAACGCAAACGGGCTGAAGCTGAAATAGCTAAACAACACGAGGAGGAAGAGGCCCGAAAGAAAGCAGAGGAAGAGGAGAAGAAGCGGAGGGAGGAATCAGCAGAGAAGGAGAGATTGCGGAGGGAACAGGAAGACCGCGAGGCTGAGCGCAAGCGCAAAGACGAGCAAGAGCGCCAACGTCGAGAGGAGGATGAGAAACAACGACGCGAAGTTGAGGAAAAGGCGCGACAGGAAGAGGAAGAGAAGCGACGAGTTGAATTGAAGAGAAAGAAGAGGGAAGAGGAAGAGCAGAAGCAGCGCGAAGAAGAGGAGAGACTGCACCGCGAACAGCTCGAGCGAGAGGCAGCTGAAGAAGCTCGCCGTCAACGTGAGGAAGAGGAGCGGAAAGAGCGTGAGCGGCGAGAACGTGCGCATCGTGAAGATCAAGAGCGCAAGCGTGCTGCGCGTGAAGCCGAACAACGACGATTCCGTGAAGAGCAGGAACGCATCCGCCTTGACAAATTACCTCCTCTTCTACGATGGCTTGATACATGTCCAAACCCCAAGCTCCCAGTTCTTGCAGACAAGTTCAAACGCATACAAGGATGCCGATACGATACAATTCGACGAGAAGCCAATGGAACGCCTGAGGGTCGCGAGCAATGGGTGCTCAACACCCATGTGGCTCTGCTTCTGGGCGAGAAGGATCTAGAGCTCTCAAGATGTAAGTTTTATGGCCGTATTTGTTAAGGTGATGACTGACAAACTCTCAGACACGGCCTGGGAACGCGCTCCTGTTAGCCAATTAGCCAAGATGTCTCTCTGGCGCGTAGAGTGGCGTCTCTATTCCCTTGTAGACGACAAAGTTTGGGATCTTGGTCGCCAGCTGCCAGAATACTATGGCGACGAGGATCCCTCTGAGCTGTGTTTTCATACGAAGAAACGACTGAGAGAAGAGGCTTGGGAGAAGTTCCGCAATATGGACATGTTCTTTGTCAAGGTAATTATCCCAAAGCGTGAGAATGGACCAAGCATTTTTGAAGCTAACACGACGCAGCTGTCTGACCTAATGTATACCGTGTCCAACATCCCACATCTCCGCAACACCCAGCTTGCGGTCGAATACCGTGAGCTTCTGGAGTCAGAGGCACAAAGTATGCATTGGGGTTGGGGTACGTGCCAGAAGTGGAAGCAAGATCCAGATGCTGCTCGCTATCATGGACTCGCTCCTCGTTGCAAATACTATGTCAACGGAACACTGGTGGGCGAGGATATGCCTCAGCTAGCACAAACAAGTAGCACTCCTTTCCCCGATAAGAAGGTGCCACGACGCGGACTGGTGCAAGTATTTCCAGATGATCCTGACTATGCGCGGCTCTGTTTGGAACAAGGTCTAGAGCATCTCATCAACGGCCACCTCAGCCCACCTCTCGTCAATGGCATACATTCTTCTCCAATTAGTCAAAAATCGATCGTGTCAGGACACGATATCAACGGCACTTTTAAGGCTTTGACGCCCGGATCGACAATTGAGAGCTTGCCAATGCCATCAGCAGGCCACGAGATACTGACCAACGGCATCAATGGAAAGACGAATGGAACCTCGCACTGAATCGGATGAGTTCGACATGATGATCGAACATACCTTGTTTTATTATTGCTTTCAGTTTTCTTTGTTAGCATAACGATCATGGGCGGCGCAGATACAGACTAGGGCTACGGAATGGCTTATTGCTTTTATCAACAAGTGGGAATAGTAGTCCGTGAACTACTAGTGTTCACTCATGATGATTGGATCGGAATACAATACAGGCTTGTGGAACACTCGATGGACACGATTGTAGAGTTGAATGGACGATTATCTGGAGCGTCAGCGGATGATGAGATGATAGGAGATTGTTTTATGCTGAAGCATGACTACATATGATGTCGTAGAGAAGCAGCAGAGACTGACTGATGGGCAAGCAGTCTTGCTGGTGAGAGATATTCAGCTCAATGTGTTTGAGAGGCTGTATATAACAAATTATGAAACATAAAAAACAAGAAATTATATCATGACTACTTGGTGTCTTGAAGGCGACTCGTAAACACATTTTGATTGGCTGTGAAAGAATATTTTGGCTGACGTCAAAGTTTTATGGGCCACATAAAATTCTACCCCACCATTTGACGACTCCCACTCACGCATTTACGCTTTCTTTGCAATTTATCACCAAAAGTACCTTGATCACGAATTGGGCGACGAACCCGACATCTGAGGCCAGACAACGACCGAATATCGAATCTAAGCCGCTTCTGAAAAGGAAACCGCAATCATGGCGACCACGGTGGACAAGGTTCGTAGTCGCTCCCATTATCAGACCGCACCTGTAACAAGTTTGCTAACCTCAGTCCCCCACCAGATCAAAGATATTGAGGCCGAAGTACGTGATAACTCAAACGAACCCTTCTACCCGACGTTTTGGGAGACGAAGATAGCCGACGAGTCATAATGGGGGCTTCTCTTGTTTCGTTGACCACGGGGACCGGCTCTAACGTGTGTAACTAGATGGCCAAAACCCAGAAGAACAAGGCGACGTCCTACCATCTGGGTCAGCTCAAGGCCAAGTTGGCCAAGCTCAAGCGCGAGCTGTTAACTCCCAGCGGTGGAGGAGGTGGCGGTGGTGCTGGTTTCGATGTGGCCAGGACTGGTGTTGCCAGTATTGGCTTCATCGGTTTCCCTTCAGTAGGCAAGAGTACGCTCATGAGCAGACTGACCGGCCAGCATTCGGAGGCTGCCGCATATGAATTCACTACCCTTACCTCTGTGCCTGGTCAAGTGGTCTACAACGGTTAGTCTTTTGTGATATCCCCCTCCTCCTCCACTTTACCGGTCAGATGCGGCCGCCTGCTTGATACAGGGCGCTTGATCTTGATGCCCGATTCCACTTGCCAACGGTTCCCTCACGAGCCAAACATTTTCGTGGCTGACTCGCATTCTGTAGGCGCTCCCTTGCAGATTATTGACCTTCCTGGTATTATTGAAGGTGCCAAGGATGGTCGTGGCCGAGGTCGACAAGTTATTGCTGTGGCCAAGACTTGCCATCTGATCTTCATTGTGTTGGACGTGAACAAACCTTTGACGGATAAGCGGGTGATTGAGGCGGAACTCGAGGGCTTCGGAATCCGCATCAACAAGGAGCCACCCAACATCACCTTCAAGAAGAAGGACAAGGGTGGCCTCAATATCACCAACACCGTGCCCTTGACCCATATCGACCATGGCGAAATCAAGGCTGTCATGAACGAATACCGCATCAACTCGGCGGATATTACAATCCGCTGCGACGCTACTGTCGACGACCTGATCGACATCCTTGAGGCCAAGAGTCGAAGGTATGACTGCCAAAACTGACACACAGACCTACATCTTTGGTCAGATGTGAAACTTGGTTCGCTAACGTTTTGACTTGATAGCTACATTCCCGTTGTCTACTGTCTGAACAAGATTGACTCGATCAGTATTGAGGAGCTCGATCTTCTATACCGTATCCCCAACGCTGTTCCCATCAGCTCTGAGCACGGATGGAACATTGACGAGCTGATGGAGGCTATGTGGGACAAGCTCAGCCTTGTTCGAGTGTACACAAAGCCCAAGGGCAAGCAGCCAGATTACTCTCAACCTGTCGTGCTCCGAGCCTCGCGCTGCACCGTTGAAGATTTCGTAGGCCTACCCATTTTCTTCACGTTTTCGCCCCTTCACGTTCATAAATTTATGAAGAGGCCTGGATTACTAATTGTTTTGATATGTAGTGTAACGCCATTCATCGAAGTATCACGGAGGTTTTCAAGACAGCCATCGTTTACGGCAAGTCTGTCAAGCATCAGCCTCAGCGCGTTGGCTTGGCCCATGAATTATGTGACGAGGATGTTGGTAGGTTAAACCGGAACTCCCGAAACCAACACACAACCCCAGTAGCAGCCTAAACACAGTTTGTGAGGGAGGAACGGCCAAGGTCTTCCTTGAACGCGATCTACCCGATTCAGGATCTTGCTTCACTGGCTGGTCATGGGCGTCCCTCCTCACAACCCCATTCTGGTGTTTAGGGGTTAGATTGCTGGGGTCGGGTTGTACTAAGCCCACGGCAACGCTAACTTGTAACAGTAACAATTGTCAAGCGATGAAAGGATAACTTGCGGAGATTGAAGGGGACGATCCCACGGCAACGCGAGAAGCTTGGTGAACTAGATTGCTTGGACTGCCGCTTTCGCATCAGGGTGTCACCACAAGCCATGGCACAGTCGACCACCCTCTAGTACGCGACTCTGGTTTTGCTCCGAGTGGCTCAAGAAAATAGAGGGAGAAACCGCGCGGACCGGGGGGATGTCGAATGCAATAGAGTCAATAAGGACAGGGCTGACACTGGATGCACGGCTACGAGCACGTCTGGCTGGCAACAAGAATCGACCTGGCTCAGCCAGGCACGATAATGATCGGCGCAAGTTTCCGGGGGAGTTCAGAAGTGGCGTGCCTACTCACAGACAGGCTGATGGGTTTAGAACAGGGGGGCAAAATATTAGGTCAACGGCAGACGACAATGAGCAAGGGACAGACACGATTTTAAGATGACAATGGAGAGCAAGACGGAGTAACTACGGACGGGACGGAATTCACACGAAATTCTGTATCCGGGTTGGCGACCGGGATGAAGCAAAAAGCAACGCATGTTGTTGATATTTTAGCGCGAAATATAACTCTAGCAGAAGAAAGAGATTCGGTCATTGGTTATCGGTCGACTCTAGGGGAGAATTACAGTCAATTTGTGAAAAAGGACATACATTTTTTCACCAGCAAAGGCGGCAGTCTGACTCAATCGCGTGTTACTGCGTCTCATCACGATGATATTGGTAATCACTTAACTATCCGCGCGGCTGAAAGAAGTTTTGACCGAGCGGAGATATTTCCAAGAAGAAATTCGTGCCAGGTTCAGGCAACACACACTACGACAGGAAGAGAAAATTTTGAGGACTATGCATTGTGACAGATAACATCATGAGATTGCCTCCGACACAAGATTAAGAGTACAGGCAAATGTTGATATATTGAATGAATAGATAGTTTGGCACTAGCTGTTTTTAATCATTCTGACGGGTATAATATTCTTGACGATATGGTATGCAAGAGCTTCAACGCCACCATCTGATGTCAATAAGCAACGGGATGCATAGGTTCGACCTGCATAACCGAGGGCCTCTTGATCTGCGGCCGGATTTCCCAGCAGAAGCGTGGGACGCAGGGCCAGGGGTACACACTTGCGAATCAGGTTGCGCTTTGGTCTTGGTCTTTGCATCAAGGCGCTTAAAGGGACGAGAGGGCACATTGCCTTTTTCCCAGGGTAGTTTAGGGCTTTCCCTGTTTTGGTCCATCATGTCATGTACCCATACTGAAAGAAGGTTTTTTCTTCCCTGTGCAAGTGACCGAGTTTGAGTGAGTGAGATATTTGAAACACATCTCTCGAGTTTTGCCAAGGTTGAGAGATGCAACTTGACAAGATCAAAAGTGGTAATGCTCTGTATTGCACAGCTTCGTATCGCAAGGTACCTACTCGATAGATAGCTCTGTGCCTTGTAGTGGTAGCATCATGTACAGTGTATACGTACCTACTGTCGCATCGCAATATATTACCTTGAGCTCCATAACACGCTCCGTTCCGCTCTGCCCCCTCGCTAGCCTACGTCGTAGGTATGCACTATGTACAGTAGAGTCGGAGAGTCCACCCGAGCCGAGATAAGTACATAATGAGTTCTGATCATGGCGGCGCCTAGAAACTCTTTGTGAAAGGCGGAGAGCGTAAGCCTCTTTGGCGAGAATAACGTCCCGAAGCCCACACCAGTTTTGAAGAGGTTTAGTGGGAAGTGAAGAGCCAGGGGGCTCATCAGCAGCAGGGAAGAGAAGAACGACCAACAGCAGTCTTGTTAGGCGAAAGGTGATCTCCACAGCCGATGTACATCCATTACATCCATCCATCCATCCATCCAATGTTGATGAGGACAAGGTCGTAGCCATGGATATGGGTATGGTACATAGTATGGTAGGGGTGGGTAGTTATGGGTATCCTATAGTACCCGTAACCGTAGGTAGGTAGGTCATACAACAGCTGGTAGAGTGGCTGCAGTGCAGGGAAGGAGAGAGAGTCTCTGTCTCTTGATCTTTGCTGCATAGACGACGCTTTTTTCTTTTTCCTTCTAGCTCAAGCATGATCTTGTCAGAAAAGATGAGCAGCAAGGTTGTATTGTATGTATGTACGGGTAAATTGGTTACATGGCTAGCACGGGCATAAATGAATACACGGCACGGCTCGTCAAGCACTAGATAAGGTCGATCCCGCTATGTGAAAGCAAATCGTCAGCGGTAATGTCAATGCTGAGATCAATTGATGTTACTGTTATTAATATCGTGACCAAAAGGAATAGGGAAAAAGAAACGAAAGACAAGTTTAAAAAAAGGAACACTAAAAAAACTGTAATTCAAACACATCCGCATACGCAGTCATCATTACTTACCTGCCTACCTAGTGCAGGACGGACAGCTGCAGCGCTGATGAGATCTCATCAGCACTCAACTCAACTGGGCACCAAGTGCAAGGGGTAGATGAAATGGCGCCTAAAGGGGAGACAGAAAGAACAGGGAATATCCCTCGGCCGTTGATGATTGATTGACAGATCCCTGGCTGCGCTTGCTTAGCAACCATTGACCAAACGCAGTGCTCATGAAGAGCATCAGAGCAAACTCGAGAGCGATTGGTCAACATCGGCCACTTATATGCGGTTTCTTCACCGGGCGTTTAGGATACGATATTGATGCCATGCCCGGCATGATGCTCCTGTCATGAGATGCCGGATGCTTTGCTCTGTGCTAGGGCTAGATTTCGACGCCATTCTTTCTAGTCATGATCTTCCCACTTGGAAGGCCTCGTTTTTCAACATGTATGTTCCTGCAAACTTGTTACAGGGGGCACATCCGTTGACGCCTAGATTTCCTAGTGAGTTTAGAGTCCAGTAGGTACGAAGGTACCTGACAAGGTAAAGTCTACTAATGTTGTACCTCGGATAGGCAATTTCAATTTCAATTTCAATTTCAATTACGGTGCAGTTGCAGTTACAATTCATTGGTAAGTACGTACCTGCCTTACCCTGCCCTGGGCTCTGAGGAGCTCTTTCCATGAATCAGTAACAACTGCCGTCCATGAGGAGCTCCTTCTCGCTTCCAACTTGGAGCAAGGGCCTAAGGATCGTCAACGCCAAACAATCCAAAATACTGGGGCTCCCGTCTTTCCCTTCCTTTCCACAACTCCTGCTTTCGCCAACGACAGTAGCAAAGCAAAGCAAAGCAAAGCAAAGCTAAACAAACAGATGCTAGACACCATCAAATTTACTCTCAGCCTACGATCAAGGCGGCGTCAGGGATCTTGATCAAATTGGCCAACTGGATCAACACCCGGACGGATTGGACCGTCCATGGCGCGCCACAACTTGGTCCCCTCCTTTGCTCTCCCTCTGTCCGCTCATCATCCATGTATATGCATTCGTCCCATCGCATTTCTCCTCATACTCTACGAGGAGAGACGGACAAACATTGGCAGATTATGGATACTTGCTGCCCAATGGCAAAATCTCTGGGTCGAGCAAGATCACTCTCACTCATGGTACTACACAGTAGTGGCTGCATGCCCAATGATTGACAGGTTGATTAATTGGCCTCTCCCGAGATTGCACTAACCGTCCAGCCACGACGCTGATCCTCCATCGCGACTGACCTGCTTCCGATACGAAAGATGAAGAAATGAAAATGCTACTCAAGGAATCGCTACCCATTGCACGACCTACCATTTGTTGCTTACAAGACAAGGCTATCCATGACGGAAACGAGGCCAAGCCCAGAGCCCTACACACATGGGGATGTCATGGAGGTCAAACATGGATGTTGATGGGATGGACTAGGGGCGGAATGGCAACTGGCCATGCTGCAATAGGCGGCAGGCGGCGGCTGTCAAACTGGCTCCAGAAAGGGCCGTCCCACTAGTCTGCCTCTGTCGATTTGCCCTGGTAAGCCCCAGTTCTACCTTGCTCAGAGTAGCGGTAGATCTCCGTCCATTTCTCATCCAAAGACAAGCCATACCAAGGCTGCGAGGCAAGCACCGTGAAGCTCCAAAATTACCAAATACTGGTTGGTGCCTTACTGCACGCACATCAATGTCCTTCATAATACGGGATAGGACGGTCTGGCCTCGGATTTTGACCCACCGTCATTCCAGTTGCGGCATCCCGAGAGCACCATGTCATCATGGTGCTGAAAAGGTGGGAGAGAGGACCGGGGTCGGTGTTGACTTTGGCATGACTGCTAGATTGCCAGTTTGCTTCGACAAAGGCAACGTTGAGCCGAGCTTTAATCAATGATTGAAATCAAAAGAAGATGCTTTGCGGCTCGGCTTCACAATGATCATTGCTCCGCATGAACAAAAGTTGAAACGTACATCTCGCAACTTTCGCTAGATTTGTCACACATCAAATAACTCAATATTGAATACTGGCAGACCACGTGCATCGGTCTGTTACAGAGTGAGATAGTCACTACAAATCCCGTTCTTTGTCCTGGTTTGGATTGGGGCCGCATGTTACCTTGGTGCCATATCTCCATGGGTCATGATGTCTGACTACACTAAACTTTGACCAGTAAGCCATGCCGCTCAAAGATCTTGGCCAGAAAACTACTCTGTAGCAAGAACAAGGACGAGCTGGCTTAAAGACAAGGATGCCTGGATGAAGTTTCGGGGATCCATATCTCACAAGCGAAGAGGACCCTTAACAACCTGAGGCACTCGGTTTACACTCGGTTTACACTTGGGTTGGCTATGCAATCCCGGAACCACGAGGCAAGCAGGACGAGGCGAGGAGACACGACAGGCAAAGGAGAAGCTGTGGCTAGGACATCAGGGCATGGCATGAGGAACAAGGCTGAACGAATCAAACCGTCGACGCCTTGTTCATCAATCCCCTCCCTTCTTACTCACCACGCCTCTGCTCCATCTTTCCCATGAGACAGGTCTGAGCTCCGGATCTCACCTCCCGGTTGGGCTTTGACCGTGAAGCGCGCCGTGTATCAGGGTTCAATGCTCGAGAAGGAAATAAGAGGGAGAACCAAGAGTGACATACGAGACCGCGCGGGCTGGTCCGCTCAAGGCTGAAGCTGAATGATTGCTGCACCAAGGGCTAACAAGCTGAATTGCCATCATCACGACTACCCATGCCCCACTATCATTTACGGTTTTCGTCAATAGTCGACTTACTCGCGGTTGACGATAATTATCCTTGATCACTGGAGGTTTCTTTCCATCAAATACCAGGATCATCATGGACCCCTGTCTCTAAGAGTGGCCGGGCATGCCGTTGCCGTTGCTGCATACATACTCTTTCTGCTGTAGACTGTATCTTATCCGTGGCCCGTTGGTCGATCTTACTTTGGGCTGTATCAAGTCCCTGCTGCCGCCATCCCATCAAAAGATTGGGCATTATACTAGAACCAGCATGTTAATATTACGATTCAAGGCTTCGGACCCTCAGGCCAGGCCGGGTTTCGTCTGGGGAGGATCTGATTTAACAGGTGACCAACCCACCGAGTGGACTCTCTGCGGAAGAACTGGCTGACCTATGGCAGCTCTCCATCGTCCATCTCCAGTTTAAACACAGACTAGTCATCTATTACCATCGAATCGCATGGGTTTTTGGCGCGCCGCGCTTTCTAGATCAGAGAGAGATACCCTATGAAAGCTGCAAGCTGATGGTTCCCAGATGGACTATCTCTCTAGCCCGAGCGCGACTTTTCTTCCTCCTCATCCTCTTACAGAAAACTCCAGTGAGCTAGTACTGACATGGCACGCCCCTTCGTCTGACCTCATGTTCATCGGAACTGAGCCATATCGTTACACTCTCAGCTCTCGTAAGAACAGGGCCAGTCTGGCCGGAGTGAAATGAGGGACAACAGGTTGAATACACAACCCGCTGCCAACGTTAGTCTATGGAGAGTTAGTCGCAGTATTAACAGAATGAATACGGAGAACCTCCATTACTAGGGTTGCAACGTTAAGATGGAGAATGATACTTTGGGCTTGTCCTGACGATTTTGGGCATCTCTCAATGCTTCTTCCACTACTTGTGTCGCCGATCGGAAGTTTGTGTCTGCGGGCAAAAGATTGATTGATTATGTTCTTATTTAATATTCGTCTAGCTTTCACCTATCAGATGGTCGCTGGCCAAGGGGTTTGCACCTGCCTACGGATTCATTCAACGGCTGACGATTCTCTTGCTTTTTCTGACCTGGCGATGGTCTGGCTAGGATCAACAAGAAGAAGAAGAATCGGCTGAGAGCTCCATAGGAGTATACCCTAGCTCACCGGTCTATCTCCGAACCCGAAGGCGTCCCATCCCATTACCTCATGGGCCCGTCGTCTATCATTCTTTGATTTTGATCAAATCGCCGCAATTATTGGCGGGTGAAAGAGTATGCGTGCCTGTGTGTGAGCCTCTGTCCTCTGCAAGCTTCAGTTCTTTGCTCTGGGCGTCGAAGGCCTTGTCATACCCTATTCAAAACACTTTCCGTCTTTATCAGCTTCATCCACACCTCAATGAACTGCGCACACACTTAGACTGCGTTTCAAGGATTCATCAGTTGTCTACAGAGCACACTGGCTTCAACCCACTGCCCTCCCACACACACACCATTTCTTGATCTCACGATTACAGTATACACCCCTCCCCCTTGTTGAAGGGAACCCCCACACCCTTGCCTATTCCTCGTGCGTTCTGCATATGTATATGGAGAAGGTCAACCTCCGGGGTCCTTTACATATGTAGCTATGCATATGGCTTTAGGTCTCGCTTGTTTACACTACACTACACTGCACTGCATGTATTGAAAAACGATATACTGCTCAACGGTCTGGCCTCGTGTTGGAACGTTCGCCTCAAGTCTGTGGTCCACCATCAAAACTTTGTCTTGACGTTACCGTCCGGATCAAGCTACTGGCGGTCGTTTCTGGACATCGTTACTGTTTTACCGCCCCCTGTGGCTTTTCTCATCCGCCCGCCCACCCTCCACTACTCAGTACGTTATTGTCTTGTTTTGTACATTGCCCTGCCGCCTTTATCCTGAGACGGCGTTATTGTCTCCGCAATTTCCACGAGCTCAGCGAGAAAAAGCAAGTAGAAGAAACTTCCCGCCGTGTCTCACTTTAGTGAGCTTGCGTCTTGAGAGGAGAGTTGTTTCTGCCCATCGAACAAGATTCACAAACAGACAGAACTGCTTCGAGACCTACTCAAAAACCATCCCTTCTGCGATTTAGACGGTTCTAAATACTGCTGGCCCATCACTGAGGGCTAGACTCTTTCTGCTTTCCAGTGGTTGAGTTACTTGTGTACTGATGTTGGATCTTGCAAAGATTTGCCCCAAGACACCCGACATCATCTACAAAGGTACAAAGTGCTCTGAGCAAGAACTTGGGAGATCGACGGCAAACGTGGGCCACCTTTTATCTACACATTCAGGAACCAATTCGAACAAGACGATGCATCTACCCATTGACCGATGTCAAACGTGAGGACCATCACACTAAATCTTCAGTTCTCCTCCGTCTTCATTCCCAGTTCAGAGGAAGTCGGTCGGGTCAAATCATCATTCAACATCTCATCCTTGACTAGCTCTCGTGACCGAGATTTTTCAGGCATTGGCAATCACTTAGCCAATTCTAACATTTTCTATACTTGATCCAGTGCCAGCTGGACAACACACGCAACGATGAATCACGTCAATGGGACGTCCACAATGGGACAGGACAACACAATGGCTCAAAGCAACGGATATGGAAGTGATGTCTGGACGAGTATCAGTCCCTACAGCCAAAGTCCATACAATGCCAGTCCGTTGACCGAGTATTCATCCTTTGGTGCCTTTGGAGTCCACGGACTACCATCAGAATCGATAAACCGAATGCCGCCACCACAAATACACCAAATGATACAACCAGCACCACCTCCAATGGCACATCAGCAGCTTCCTCTTCTTAATACAAACCAGACCTGGCCGAGCCAGTTGACGAATCCGGCTCCTTCTCAGAGCTATCCACCACCACCAGTATCTATGGCGCCTGCCACCAGCGCTCCGCCTGTAGAAGCCCCCAGATTACCGACCCAGCACGAAAAGTCGAGGAAAACCCTGACTACGGAGCAAAAGAGAGCTATGTGTCAGTTTCATGAGGACAACCCTGGCACTCGACAAGCCGATATTGGAGCCCGGTTCGGCGTTGAGAGAAGGTAGGCATTTTTGGATACCAAGTCACACTTCGCCATGGGAATCTAACAAAACATAACAGCACTGTATCGAAGGTTCTAAGACACAAGGATCAGTACTTGAAACGCGATCAAGAGCCGGAAAATGCCGCAGTGAAGCGTGGAAAAGGCAAGCATCCCGATTTCGATCGAACACTTAGCAACTACGTTAGGAGACAGCAGCAACGAGGGTTTCAGGTCAGCGACGAAGAGATCATGGAACAGGCAAGACTATTTGCCCATGCGAGTGGTAATCAAGAGAGTGTATTGAACAACCTGAATAGCATCTGGCTTCAAAAGTTTAAACAAAAGCATGGTATTGGGGCAGGCAAATTGATGCGGAGAGCTTCCGAAGCCAACATACCAGACAGTGCAAGACTATCGACACTTGTCACGAAGACCAGCGATTTATCCCCCGTGTCACCAACAGGACAGCTCTCGCCCCTATCCGGAAGCAGAAGCGACGAAGAGGCACATGCCGATGGAATCGATTTCGACTTTGGTTACAAACATGCAGAATCCCAATCAACGACGTCACTATCCAGTGATTTCAGGGACAACGGTGCGTCTTCGTTCTCAACAGGCACAATGAGCCCTACGGGTACGTTCACTTTCTCTCCTGATCCCAATGTGGGAGGCTTCCCGATGGATTTCCAACACAGGGAGAAGAGGAGCAATACATTCCCATCCCTTAACATTGATTACGTGAACCAAATCTCATGCTCAACGGAGCCTATGACTCCTCGGTACCCCTCATCATCGACTGCGCCGTCTTCAGCTCTGGAGTCACCCCAGCATGAACTACAGGCACCATTCAGTATTAACACCAACGTCAACTCACCGCCTCCGGTACTGCGTCGCAGCAGCAGCAACTCGAGTATAAATCGCTCTACTGCAGTAACCAGTGCTACATCGTCGACCCCGATAGACTCATCTCCAGTTTCACCGTCCCAGGAGGATGCTCGCCGGGCAGCACAAACACTACTCAACTACATCCAATCAGCTGGCACATTTGACACAAACGACTATCTGTCCATCGTCCAGTTGACCAAAAAGCTCAAGATCCACCAAGGTCGACCGTCGATTGGTGGACTGTCCCGTATCCCCGAAGGCGACGTTGAAGCACCTGTTCTTTTATCAGCCAAGATGGAACCAGCCTGAATTTGTATGCCAAAACTCCCTGAGTTTGTTTCTTTTTTTCCATGTCTATATCTTACCACTTGAACTTGCTCTCGAGTTTAATTGTCGAGAGTATTAGAGGGGGTGCTTTGGTCAGGACCATTATGGGTCACTTTTCTGCTCACGCAAGAACCTGCACTCTTTGCATTTGCACTTTGCACTTTGCACTTTGCACTTTGCGGCATCGACTGCTTACCATTGGATCCGACATGAAACCTTCGACTGCTTGCGGCAATTACCGGACAAAAGAAAACACTGAAATCTTACAAAAAAAACGTGTCTTACAGGAACGGACAATTTCTTATACCCAAACACCCTTGAAGATTTGAATCTCCCGCTCGCGCGAACCCGAACGCTTACATACAAAAATCGTCCACACGAATCTACAATCCCGAACTGCTCATCGGAAGGGTGAGGCATGGAGGAGAGTCAAAGGGCTAGAAAAGAGGAGAAAAATACGACGGCCAAAACACGAATGGCAGAGACACAGTACAAATCAGAGCGAGGCTCTTAACAACAGTTCAGGGGCGTTGCACCCCGCTTTGTCAATATCTGTTTTCTTTTCTCAGCATGTTTTCTTACTTCTATACATATCGTTTATTTTCTTTCAATGCATGTATGGCATCGATGCGGAGGGAATAATCATCTATGCACACGCTGTTTTCTTTTATTCCCATCATTTCTTGTTTACTTTTCTGTTCAAAGACGAGAGGGCATCTGCTGCGAGGCACGGCACGGTATGGCATGGCAAGTTACGGTTAAGAAACGAAGTGGTGCATGACTTATGAATCACATCGGCGATATCGATGTTTTTCAGTGGGAGAGAAGGAAGAGGTCGTTTTTGGCTTGTTGTATCAAGAAGATAGCTGGACTAGGCTAAGAGCCTGCTCAGGGGTTATTGAGATCGTCAAACGTCTGGTAGATAAGGACATCCCTTCTTTAGTTAAATGGGCGGCATTTGTGCATTTAGGCATGCCCTTGCTCTTGGATACCTTAACTCTGTCTCATTCTGATGTGATGTTTGTGTTTATTGATATATTTGTTAACAAAGGGGTATCATCAATCTAAAAGAGTGTCTACAGATCTACTGTAATTATCTACTCAACCAAGTCTTTCTTCCCACAACTCTGTCACGCCTTTCTCGGTTAGCTCGGGCATCAATCTAGCAAGTACCAATTCGAGAATGCTGTACATGAGATGTTTGTTACAATACTCGTCATCCAGTACAAGGAGAAGCCGCTCCATCTCATCCAAAAGATCTTCGTCATCCGATGGATCGCCCTCGGCCTTTGTGCCTCGCCGCCATAAGCGACCGCCGAAATAAAGTCTTCCCACACCCTTCGGTAGCAACTCCCAAAGTGACTTAGCGGCTCTTCGACGCAGGGCGTGTAGCTCGGCTTCGGAAGATGGTGGGAAAAGAGACGCCTTACCGGGGGCATTATTGGGGAAGAGAACGCCGCGAAGTGTGCGCAGAAGAGGGGGCAGATTCGAGGGAGAGAAGAGAGAATTGATATGATGAGAGAGGAGCCTGTGTGAAAGAAGAACGTAAATTAGCACATATTAACTTCACTTTGCGTTCTAAGCTTGTACAGCGCGTGGGGTTGAATGATCGGAAACATAATGTGCAGCAAGGGGCGCGTTCATTGTCGGTCTAGCCGATGTGATGCGATGTAATGCAATGCAATGTGAGGTTGAGAAGCAAAGCACAAAGTAAGACGAGGCTGCCAATGGTTTATTGGGTAGCAGCGCCTTTAGACTGGCTCATAAGGTTGCTTCTGTGCTGATCTGCCCATGTATAAACGAAATGGATCGAATGAGGGTCAGGGGAGCAACAAGCAAGACAAGCCTTGCAAGGTGCGGGGAAACGCATCAAGAAGCACATTCTTCGTCTGTATCCCATACAGGCTGAGGTAGAGATGTGAGATTACACAACAGGCACCCAAGCAATGAGATCGAGGCTGCTTGTGGATAGCATGTCATCGAATGACTTGCTTTCACCCCTCAAAGTCGAGTTTAGGATCGTGTAACAGTCTTGCATGGTAGTTGCAAAAAGCTCAGTGGTTTCCAGCAGTTTTTGATTTTTAGGAAGAGTTGAAGCTGACTAGTCGCAAAGCCGCGATTTAAGAATTCAAGAGCTTGACTGGGTGGTGGGAACCAGGACTGTGACGGCTGCCCTCTTCGAGATAGTACTACAACCAACGTCTTGAAAGATGATTGTCTCAGGCGGGTGGCGCGGCACGGGGCGAGAGTCAATTCAAGCTCATTGACGCATCTTGAAGCGGGTGGTCCCTTTGGAGAAGCTGACATGGGCTGGGCGCGTAATCTTGACATCCTGCTGGACGGAAAGGCCTAGCTTGGGGCCATGTCAAGCAATCGGATGTCAAAAGCAGCATCATGCTTTTCAATTGGCTGAGCCTCAGCTCCCAAGACCCATATCAACATGATTTAAGGACAGGCGACTCGACAAGAAAACGCTATTGCCTTCACACAATTACCCTCATTGCGCCTCGTGGTACAGCTAAGTGTGTGTTGCAAGGGTGTGTATCGACAACTGCTTCCCGCCCAACAGCCAACAAAGGGTAGAGACGTTATGACCCGCTTCTAAGACCAGGCGGGCCGACTTATCATACCGTGCCGTTGAAGAAATTTGTTTCTGAGTGCTCACTGGAGCATCAGGAGGTCCAGTGACTCCAGACTCATGCGAGGTAGAAATGTCTGGTGACGATGTAGGTGTGACGAAATAAAAGAAATGCTCATATCTTACCTGTCAACAGGGCCATCGTGGCCAGCGATTCGTCCAGGTCCATTGACCGCGCCGTACTGCAAAAGTGACAAAAATCCATCAAGCCAAGGCATGCGCAAGCTCAGCTCAAGCAAATTTCCAAGGCATGTCCATACTCGACATGATAGGATAGGCGCCTTGATGTAGTCGGCTGACTCGTGGCTCGATGAGACGCTGGACTGTTTATCCTGACCCAGCGATACTTCCTTTTCGTTTATGGGTGTCGTTCTAGCAGGTAGGGATGAAGCCATCACCAGAGCAGTACTGATAAATCGGAGTGAAGCAACTACTATCATTCCAAGTTGGATAACGCCGAGAAAAACGGACCTTACAGAAGACCTCACAGACCAAGCGCGACGACCCTTGACTTCAAGCTTTGGCTCAGAAGTTTCCTTTTGGGCTCCTACAGCCGACGGCCCGTCATTCGTCTTTTGTCGCAAAACCCTGGCTGTGATACAGATGCCTTCGTATAGCATCCACGGCTGTGAAGCCTTATTGGCTATGATGTTGCCAATTATAAGCTCGGAGAAGATTTGTTCGACGAGACTCGTGAGACATGGGTTCTCGAGGTCTTCCGTGGGCAAGAGAATGGCGAGGATGCCTTGGACTAGCAGCTGGCGGTATAACGCTTCATTCCCAGCTTGGTCGGATATTGTGTCTGGTTTGTCTGAGTGAGGCACTGGCGCTAGGTGCGGAAGAGGACATAAGGCGTGGTATGCCTCTCGGGGATCTACCTCCACAGGGGGCCTTGCGATAGTACTATGGGAGATTCGGTATGCTGATTGTTGTTAGAAAGTAGCGGCTCGTAAATGTAGTGCATCCTCACAAGTGATATGCTTGTCCAGCAAGTCGGGTATCTCGTCCAAAACCAAAGTTTCCAGATCAACCTTGCGGAAGCGCTGCTCCAGTGCTCGCGAACAATGAGCGATGATGTGTAGGACTTCTGCGACAAAGTTCTCGTCTGTCGTGATTTTATTGTACCAGCTTTGAACAAACTCTCTCAGTACGATGGCGAGAATTGCGTATAGCTGGAGGTCGACATCGTTACGACTGGTCAAAGGAGGAAGCAGCTCATCAATGGGCGCTTGCGCATCGCGATTCTTATCGCCGAGCTGAGGAGAGCACAACGTCCTGCGTATCAAAAGTGAAGTTGCTCGATCAGATAAGGGGTCGGTCGTATGAGGGCGCGTCGAATGACGTGGAGAGGCAGCAGTGGTAGTCGTAGTAGTAGAAGAGACGGCGGTAGAGGGCGACGGTTCAGTATCAAAGGTCACCGACTTGGGCCGTGGGGCCGGTGGTCGGGCAGGAAAGGCGGCCGGGGCCACAGAAGAAGTGGCTGTCATGGCCGGAGCGATCGGCGAGGTTCCACTATCATGACCCGGTCGCGGAGGCGAGGCGAGCAGAAAGGATATTGTGATGAGTTTACGCGGAGTTCAATTATGTGTTTGAGGATGAAGTCAAGTTAACAGCAGGTCGCAGGGGAGGCCGCATGTTAAGCTCTTTCCTGCATGGTATGGGTTGGCCCGCCGCCTGAACCGTGCACTGCAGGCGCGGGGAGCTGCATGCACGAAATACCTATTACCATACCATGCCCTGCACCTTCCGAGTACAGTCGAGCACTAAAAACAAGAAGCATTCCAGGTGTATCTACAGTTCAAGCCACAATACTATTGTGCATCTCAGACATGTTGATAGCGTGTACCGCGTATTGGCTACTAGCTAAGCTCTTACCTTGATAGGTCGATTTGGTGATGGAAACGTTTAATGGCTGGTTTGGGAGATGTCGCTTTCTGCTACCATACCTGCATGCCTCCTCTTAAAGTGTAGAGAATGGCGTGACGCTTTCAGTAATGATCTATCCATATACACAGCTATGCTACAGAATCTGTACAATATGGTACAAGAGAATTCGTGGTTTGTTCATCCTCGTCCTACCCTTTTTTAAGCATCCCTGGTGGCTGTCTCGTACCTCTTTCCACGGAACGCCCACACACCCCAGTTGCCACAACTGACGTCCTGAGGATCCATGTCGTTCAAATCCCATCTAAGACTCCTGAAAGTGTTCTCGCCAGGCTGCAACAGAATGTCAAACTCTCCCTTTGACTTCTTGTTCACCCATTCGACATCGCGCTCCATATCAAATTGAGTGTAGCCTGTGCTGATAATGGGAACCTTAGTCTCCAACAGAAGAGGGAGAGTCTCCTCCCATTCGTGACTGCTAGCAGGATGACCCAGGCCGGGATGGAACAGCACAAAGCAGTCAAAGTAAGGATCGTATGGCGCAAAGTGCTGAGTCTGGTGAATTGTGTGGTAATAATCCACGATTGTGCTGATCTTCATCTTGTACCAGACACGGTCCTCAACCACGGCCCCAAAGGGGTTTGAGGGGGTGCGCTCTGGCAATGGGAACTCATCATCCCGGTTGGCCATACTTTCGGGCCCCACAAAGATGAGATGGAGTCGGGCGTCGGGGAACATGTGAGCCAACTGTACCCAGGCAGGTCGCGGGAGAGAAGACTCTGCACGAGCTCCCAGGATAAATACTCGCACAGCAGGCGCCTCTGGCTTCAACTCGTCAACGCCAATTCCTCGACCGGACTTAGGAGGGTGCAGGTTATATCTCAATGCTGTTCTCATAAATCAGTCGTGAAATCTCCCTTCTGGTCAGTCATTAATACTAACCGCTAAAACTCTTCAAGCCTTCCGTAGTCATTCGCTCCCCAGCCTTGATACTGTACGGGCTGAGTTCATGAAGAACACTGCCAATGGTAACCGGGTATGTCAGAAGACGAGTAATCTGTCTCATTTGGCGATCAGAGTTGACGGCGTCAAACTCTCTGGTGTACATGAAGGTATCCCAGTTTGTCATGTTGATAGCCGCATGCTCCATTTGAAGATCGGGGAGATTGCCTTCCTCAAACACCCGACCGGATCGCAAGTCATGGTCATCTTCATTAATCTGTCGTAGGGTATCGCAGACTTCGAGGTGCTTCTCGTAATCGTCCATCCAATGTTCCTCGCAGCAGTAGACCGGCAAACCACAGTCCGGACACTCAAAGTTCACATGCTCTGGCGGTTGGGTGCCACTCGCAGCTTCTGCATCCTCAGGTTTCGGGGCAATTGTCGGGAGCTTCGTTTGCTGGTGATCGGGGTGGGGGCAGTAGGCGTGCTGTCGCATAAAAGCAGCTCGTTGACGAAACTCGGGAACAGGCGATTTCGAAAATGGATGGAAGAGGTCGTCTTGACTAAGGCGCAGCGATGATGGAGAAGACTTGTTAGTTACAGAAGCGGCTGCCTCAGACTTCTTGTTTGCATTGGTCGAAAAGTCTCGGTTAGCAGGCGCGGGTGCTTTTCGTTTCTGGTCTTTGACTGTCGAGTGAACATTTCGGATATGATGGGGTGATATCCTCATCCATGGCTTGGCTGTCACTCCCAAGGCCAATTGCCTCCGCATAGTTGCAGAGCATTGTCCGCAGAGGCTCGAGGCCGCTCTTCTCAGAGTCGGCTCCATATCTTTAACAAATATGATCAGTTTCCGGACGCCAATTGTTTTACTGACGTCTTCTGTATATCTGATTATCGATGGAAGTGGGATAATTCGAAGGAGCTCGGGCCACAGTCGGCTGCGCCGCAAAATAATTCCTCCGATGCGCGCCAAAGTTTTGACATGAAAGCTCGCTCGAGTTTCAAAAGCTACAACCATCAGCTTCGACGCGACACAATCTGACCTGCACCTGTTCTTGAAGCCGCGCAGGCTCATCTGCGCCTAGCCGCAAACATGGCGACCACATCGAACATGTTTTTATATTCGCTTACGGTCCAGCCTCCTACAAATGTCACGCAGGCGGTCCTGGGCCAGTTCGCAGGCACTCGGGAACAGCTCATCATCACTGGTGCTGGCTCACAGCTCTCACTGCTACGACCTGATCCCTCCCAGGGAAAGGTGATTACCCTCCTCTCTCATGACGTCTTTGGCATCATCCGTTCCCTTGCCGCCTTCCGGTTAGCTGGTAGTAATAAGGGTAAGTCAATCCAGAACCCCTCTCAGGAAAATCACTTAGTGATGTTCAAAAGCGATGCTATAGACGCGTCGACCACAGTGCCACCGAAACTCGAAACCCTGTCACCAGAAATCTAAGGCTAACTGAACTTTCACAGATTACTTGATTATTGCTTCTGACTCTGGTCGGATCACAGTTATTGAGTATCTCCCAACTCAGAACCGCTTCCAGCGACTACACCTTGAAACATTTGGAAAGTCAGGCGTGAGAAGAGTGATTCCTGGCGAGTATCTTGCTTGCGATCCTAAGGGCAGAGCGTGCTTAATTGCCTCAACGGAGAAGAACAAGCTTGTTTATGTCCTAAATCGGAATTCACAAGCTGAGCTTACGATCTCGTCGCCTCTTGAGGCTCACAAGCCAGGTGTTCTTGTCATCTCCATGGTTGCACTTGACGTCGGCTACTCGAATCCTGTTTTCGCCGCGCTCGAGATTGACTACTCAGAGGTTGATCAAGATTCAACAGGCCAAGCTATGGAAGAACTGGATACTCAGCTTGTCTACTACGAGCTTGATCTAGGACTCAACCACGTCGTCCGGAAGTGGTCGGATCCAGTCGATCCTACAGCCTCAATCCTATTCCAGGTTCCAGGTGGCAGCGATGGTCCAAGCGGTGTGTTGGTATGCGGTGAAGAAAACATCACATATCGACACTCAAATCAAGAGGCCTTCCGCGTTGCCATCCCTCGTCGCCGCGGTGCTACAGAAGATCCCAATCGCAAGCGCACAATTGTGTCTGGCATTATGCACAAGCTGAAAGGCAATACGGGTGCATTCTTTTTCTTGTTGCAAACGGACGATGGTGATCTCTTCAAGCTCTCCATCGACATGATTGAAGATGAAGAAGGCAATCCAACAGGAGAAGTCAAGAGGCTCAAGGTCAAGTACTTCGACACCGTTCCAGTGGCATCCAGTCTTTGTATCCTCAAGAGTGGATTCCTCTATGTTGCCACACAGTTTGGCAACTACTCATTCTACCAATTTGAAAAACTTGGTGACGATGATGAGGAACTGGAATTTTACAGCGACGATTTTCCCGCAGACCCCAAAGCCTCCTATGAACCTGTGTACTTCCACCCCCGGCCAACTGAAAACTTGGCTTTGGTTGAGAGCATTCCTGCCATGAACCCCCTGTTAGACTGCAAGGTTGCAAATCTCACTGGCGAAGACGCCCCTCAAATATATACCATCTGTGGCAATGGCCCCCGAAGCAGCTTCAGAATGCTCAAGCATGGCTTGGAAGTCAATGAGATCGTTGCTTCTGAACTTCCTGGAATACCTTCCGCTGTATGGACACTGAAGCTGAACCGCTCGGAACAATACGATGCTTACATTGTGTTGTCGTTTACCAATGGTACATTGGTTTTGAGTATTGGAGAAACGGTCGAGGAAGTCAGCGACTCAGGATTCCTCACGAGCGTTCCAACATTGGCAGCTCAGCTGCTCGGTGACGATGGCCTGATTCAAGTTCATCCTAAAGGCATTCGTCATATCCGTAATGGAAACGTTAATGAATGGGCAGCCCCACAACATCGATCCATTGTTGCCGCTACCGCCAATGCTCATCAAGTTGCTGTCGCCCTCAGTTCTGGCGAGATTGTATACTTCGAAATGGACGCCGACGGTTCGTTGGCCGAGTACGACGAGAAGAAGGAAATGTTCGGAACAGTCACATGCCTGAGCTTGGGAGATGTCCCTGAAGGGCGCCTGAGAAGCTCATTCCTGGCAGTCGGCTGTGATGACTGCACTGTCCGTATTCTCAGCCTTGATCCTGAATCGACTTTGGAAAATAAGTCGGTGCAGGCTCTGACAGCGGCCCCTACGTCGTTAGCTATTATTGCCATGGAAGACTCTTCATCCGGTGGCTCTACACTCTATCTTCACATCGGACTCCACTCCGGTGTGTATCTTAGAACAGTTCTCGACGAGATCACCGGTGAATTGACTGATACCCGCCAAAAGTTCCTTGGGCCGAAGGAAGTCAGACTGTTCCAAGTTACTGTCCAGGGTAAGACTTGTGTACTTGGGCTTAGTTCTAGACCTTGGCTTGGCTATGCGGATCCCATCACCAAGGGATTTGTTGTGACGCCCCTAAATTACGTTGATCTCGAGTGGGGCTGGAACTTCAGCAGTGAGCAATGCGAAGAAGGCATTGTTGGCATTCAAGGCCAGTCACTACGGTATGTCCATTCTATTTTCTTTTCCACCCATCTAAAGTTGTACATGATGAGAAAAAGGATCCTATGCCTTGGGCGATGAGGTCTTATTACGCATTTTTTCCAATTGTTCCTACTGAAGCAACAAAAATTTCTGCAACATTCTTGTAGCATACTTCAGCGAGACACAAGCTAACACTCGCAGAATCTTCAACATTGATCGTCTTGGCGAGACATTGATCCAAAAATCTATTCCTTTAACTTATACCCCCAAGAAGCTCGTCAAGCATCCTGATCAACCTCTTTTCTACACTATCGAAGCAGACAACAACACGTTGCCACCTGAGTTAAGAGCACAACTCCTCGCCGACCCTGGAGTCGTAAATGGCGACTCTAGGGTGCTTCCGCCTGAAGACTTTGGCTACCCCAAAGGTACTCGGAGATGGGCATCTTGCATCAACGTAATTGACCCCTTGTCTGAAGAAGGCCAGGTTTTGCAGACAATAAATTTGGAGAACAACGAGGCAGCCGTCAGTGCAGCTATTGTGCCATTTGCCAGCCAGGATAACGAGAGCTTCCTCGTCGTTGGTACCGGTAAAGATATGGTGGTCAATCCTCGAAGCTTTTCGGAAGGATACCTCCATATCTACCGTTTCTTGGAAGGGGGTCGGGAGCTTGAGTTTATCCACAAGACCAAGATTGAAGAACCGCCACTGGCCTTACTGGCATTCCAAGGAAGAGTGCTTGTAGCTGTTGGCACATCGCTTCGCATATATGACTTGGGTATGAGGCAAATGCTCCGCAAGTCTCAGGCCGAAGTTGCAACACAGCAGATTGTGTCTCTCAACACACAAGGCAGTCGAATCATTGTAGGCGATGTTCAGCAGGGCGTCACTTACGTTGTTTATAAGCCTGCTTCTAATAAGCTTATTCCATTTGTCGATGATACAATCGCAAGGTGGACCACATGTACAACCATGGTGGATTATGAATCAGTCGCTGGTGGTGACAAGTTCGGTAATATGTTTATCGTACGTTGTCCTGAGAAGGCCAGTGAAGAGGCTGATGAGGAGCAATCCGGCTTGCATCTGATCAATGCCCGAGACTATCTCCACGGCACACCTCACAGAGTGAGCTTAATGTGTCATTTCTACACCCAGGACATTCCGACTAGTATCACTAAGACGAGTCTTGTGGTTGGTGGACAGGAAATTTTGCTATGGAGTGGTATCATGGGCACAATCGGAGTTTTTATTCCATTTGTCAGTCGTGAAGATGCAGACTTTTTTCAGAACCTCGAGCAACACCTTAGGACAGAAGATCCCCCACTCGCCGGACGAGATCATCTCATGTATCGTGGCTATTATGCCCCTGTCAAGGGAGTCATCGACGGTGACTTGTGCGAACGGTACAACCTTCTACCAAACGATAAGAAGCAGATGATCGCAGGCGAGTTGGACCGCTCAGTCCGGGAGATTGAGAGGAAGATTTCTGTAAGTCACCTCCAGAGTCACTACTATTTGAACAAGGTACTAATCGTTTTTTCCAGGACATCCGTACACGGTCTGCATTTTAATGAGAGAACATGGTATCTCGAGTGTATCATGAATGCTATTGTACAAATCTTGCAAAACTTGAAGTATTTGGGAAGCTAGCGGCGTTAACGTACAGGGTCAAAAGCAAAGTCCCTGGCTTGGTAGAAGATGGGTTGCCAGCGAACTGAAGATGTGTTGAAACCGCAAGGCGGTATGAAATATGAATATAATAAGTATCCAAGTCAAATCTGAATCAGAGTCCTCTCCAAAAGGGGCCACGGTTCTTGTACTTGTCGACCTTCTTGCCTTTGCTGGGTACTGAATGTTCCTGTTCCCATTTTTCGTCGTCCAAATACGCTGTCACAGCATTTGTAATATCATAACTTGACTGCTCCAAGTAGAGCACGGCAATGTCGTAGTCGGAGACCTTGCAGGATGTCATGAAACGACGAATCTTACCCTTTCTCATCTCTTCCTCTTCGCCTTCGACGGGCCGTGGAGAAAGGCTTACGCCACCCTTGTAGTACTCGCCAGGGATCAGGATTGTTCGTCTGCCAAGAAGCAAGTGGTCGCTTGTGATATTGTTGCTTCGTCGGAGAGCAGAAGCCGGCACGCCGTATCGGAGAGATAAAGAGCTGATACTATCATGACGATGATCGAGAAAATGCAGAATATCTGGGGCATCCTCCTTCAAAGCATCCTGTGCCAATGCTGCCTTCTCGTCATCGACATCCTGCGTCGTTGAAGCTGCTGAATATGGTGGTGGCGCTCCTGATATATGTGCTGTCGAGCTAGATGACGAATAAGCCGGGGGCTCTCTCAGGCCCTGCGGCAGTGAAGTAGGCACTGTTGAAACCTGACAGTAAGGACAATAATCTGCAAACCGCTCGTTTTCCTAGGTACCATAAAAGAGCATCAGCTACAACCCACGTTGCGGTCACGCGAGAAGGAGGTAGAGATAGATGACGAACATGAATGCATTTGCCACAAATGATTCTCGAACAACATGCGACTCGACGGTCTTGCGGTAGAGACGATTCGTTTTTTGTGTAAGCCGGCGTTGACGAGAGGATAGTTGCACACGTAGAACAAGACTCCATGGTTACTTTGCGATTTAAAGAGTAAACTGTATTAGAAAGGTTCGAGAAATATCTTTGCAGGCAAATGTTTGATAGGATCTATCTAATAAAGGATGCACACCTATTCGGGCTATCTGTAGACAAGCATCCAATCACGTCATGGTCAAAATGTTAGTGGCAGGATGCGAGTACAAGACGCCACTTTGAGGATATTGTATCAGCAGCCTCTGCACGCTTTTCAAGTCATCATACTTTGAGGACAACCCCATCAAATCAAGTAAGTATCAGCAGCCTGATAGCACGCATCGCCTCTCATATGAGAGTGAACGAAACTCGATTCTTCAATTTGTTGATAACTCAAAACAAACTGTGGGTTGTCCAGTAGTTATGTTTTAAGCGTCAAACCCAGTCAAGGGTGGACAATACTGTTGACCAAGTCTAGAAAACACATCATGTAAAACGTATACTTGAACAACAAGCCATGATAAAAAGGGAACAAAAGAGGAATAAGAGAAGATTTGGTGGTATTTTATCATTTTTAACCATTTCCTCTATCAAAATAGAGTAGGTAGTGCTGGTCTTTTAATTCAGCATACCTACGAATCATGCCGAGGCTGGGTGGATAGTGTGAACTACTTACATTATTTTTCAAGCTCATGCGCCGCGACCCTTAATCTTTACTCTTGCTTCAACTTCAACCTTCCAACAAACTTGCCTAACCCACCATTCCGACGTCGCGCAACACCAAGCCATACCAACCGCACTATAATAACACCAGGGAATACCGCAACGCCCGAGATATACCAAAATCATGAGCAAGCCAAGCTTGTCCTTTGGCCTCAATCTTACAAAAAAGCCAGGCGCGTCGAAGCCTGCGCCACCAAAAAGAAAGCCCTTGTTCGGCGACGACGACGACTCGGATAACGATGGCGCCGATGTACGGGGAAAGGTAGAGGAGATCGGAGAGTTCGATGATTTCGACGACGTCCCAAAAACAAAGACAACCACCTCGAAACCGACCAAATCAAAGAATGGCCCTTTCACCCAACCACCGAAGCTCAAGTCGAAGGGTCAACCAAACATGATGTTTGGTGATCTCTCCAGCTCTCTGACATCGCGAAAAAACGCCGAAGCTGCTGCCGAAGTCGATGCTAGCGTTTACGAGTACGATGCTGTTTATGATTCCCTTAAACCAAAGAAACAGACCACAAAAGAGGATCAACAAAAACGACCTAAATATATGAAGAATATTTTGCAAGCTGCAGACACCCGAAAGCGAGATGCGCTTATTGCAGAAGAAAAGAAGATTGCCCGAGAGCGAGAAGCCGAAGGAGAAGAGTACGCCGACAAGGAAAAGTTCGTCACAGAAGCCTACAAGAAACAACAGGAGGAGAACAAGCGACTAGAAGAAGAGGAGAAGAGGAGAGAAGAGGAAGAAGCAAAGAAGAACAAAACCGGTGGCATGTCTGCCTTTTACAAAAAACTCCTGGATAAAGATGAGCAAAGGCATTCAGATGCTATCAAGGCTGCTGAAGAACAGACGAAATCCGGTGCGCTAGCACAAGAAGAGGCTAGCGATGCTGAGAAAGAGAGTGACAAGACAGAAGCCGATCTAGCCAAGGAGCTGAATGAGAAGGGCGCCGCAGTGGCCATTAATGAAGATGGCCAAGTCGTTGACAAACGCCAGCTTCTCAGAGGTGGCTTGAATGTCGGCGCAAAGAAGAAAGAATCAACCCAACGCGACTCTGATCAACAAGCCACATTGCCACGAAAGGAAGCTACAAACCACCAGTTTGGAAGACGACAAGCCCAGCGAGAACGACAAACACGCATGATGGAGCAGCAGCTAGAAGAATCCATGAAGCGATCACGAGATGAAGAAGCAGCACAAAGGGAAGAGGTCGAACGGGCAGCCAAGAGTCGCAAGACAGAAGGCGAGATCTCGAGCGCCAAGGAACGATACCTAGCGCGAAAACGAGCTGCTGAGGAAGCCAAGAAGACTGCTGGAGGAGCTTAGATACCCAATATTTAGAAGAAGAGAAGAGTTTGAATACAATGGCGCAGCATGGACCTTGATACGTTATCCCTGTCATATCTGTTCCAGCTCGTCTATTTCCCAATTCTATCCATAATTCGGTTGCTCGTACATTGTGATATCCTCCCAAAACGGCATCCGGTCCATTCCAGACATGTTGTCACAATATGATACAGTACTGCGGTTTTATTTCAAGTGCCGCAAGTCGTTTTAAGTTTTATATTCGGATTTTGCGCATCGTCAATCCGCGGCGATCTGTTTAGTGACCAGACTCCTGCCTTAATCGAGCAATGTAGGCTGAGTTGACCATGTTCCAGGCGGCCATGTACTTCTCCATGCAGCTGGTCATGCAGGTAGTCTCGCCGCTCGACAGGGAAGTTCCAGGCTTGGGAACGCACTTCTCGAAGCAGGTTTCTTGAAGTTTCTATACCGGGAAGCCGATGTTAGTATTATTTGCCCGTCTGAGAGCAATTGCGATGTGGACGGACCTCGATCAGAGTGCGAGCGTTGACCAGGTTGGCCTCCTGCTGAACCTGCTTGATGACAGCAGCCTTGACTTGTGTGGAATCCATGATTATGATTTTGTGGTATAAGAGGCTTGGAGTCGTGACGTTGCTTGGGCCGTAGAGAAAGCTTGATCAATCGCCTATCGCAAAAAGATAGGCGGTACTGGAAAAATCCGTGGTCCGGGTATTTGCATGACTCAGCGCACTATTAACCTAACACCTTACAGCTTGGACACTGATTCTTTCCTGAGTCGGGTCAATTGTACAACTATATATTTATTGTATTAACATACGAGGAAACTGTATTCTTTTAACTTTATGACATGCAATCATATCTGCGGTCAACATATACCATAATGTCATTAGCTAATCATATACCAACCTACCTATGCATATGGCCGTGCATGCTGACGTTCAATGATGTGTTGATTGTGTAGGTATTCCTACAAATAGTGGACGGGTGCCGTCATACATTTCATAGACTTCATCAATATAATACTGAAGTGATTGGACTTGTTCGAAGCCAACATACATAACATCATTCAAATTATCCGCACGACCAATAGAAGCATCGTCATAATGGTTCTAAGCACAATGAAGGCTATGGTGACCGAGGTACCAGAGAATGGTTCCAAACCTGAGTTGATCAAGAAGGACATCTCGCCGCCGATGCTAGAACCTCATGAGGTGCTGGTCAAGGTTACAACTGTTGCCCAGAACCCAACTGATGGTATGTTCTTCCAGTGCACTCTGGCATTCATAACGCTGACACTTTGCCAGTTCAAGCTTTTGATCTCAATCTCTTCGGAAACGGCGCTGTGCTTGGTTGCGACTTCGCCGGTAAGGTCGAGCGTCTTGGTAAAGATGCCACGAAGGTTACTGAGGGCGATACAATTGCTGGTCTCATTTGGGGTGGTAAGTGGGAGTAACATGGCATAATTTGAAGTGATCACTAATATGCTGTGCACAGGCGAGGTCAAGGGCCTAGGGGCATACAGCGAGTACACCAAGGCCCACGAGAGCATTTGCTTCAAGGTTCCAAAGAGCATCTCTTTCACAGAGGCTGCCACTATCCCACTGGCATCTTTGACTGCTTGGCTCGCCTTTTTCTCAAGGGACAGCCTGAACATCGACCGTAACAAGTCAGATACAACTGTCCTGATTTGGGGCGGAAGCTGTAAGTATACCGGCACCGCTTGTTTCTGAACCAATGATCTAACACCTAGAAGCGAGCGTTGGCCAGTACGCAATTCAAATTGCAGCAATTCTCGGGTTCAATATCATCACTACTTGTAGCCCTCACAGCTTTGATCTTGTCAAATCATTTGGAGCCACACATGTCTTTGACTATAGCGACCCCAACGTGGTAAAATCCATCAAGGAGGTAGCACCTGATTTGAAATATGTATTTGACACAATTGGCAAAGAGACATCATCTGTAAAGGCATCCGGGGCCATTGACGAAAATGGAGGCACTCTCTGCACCGTCAGACCAGATAAGAGCTTCACTGAGAATGTGACCAAACAGACCAAAGTCACGCCTGTACTTGTCTGGACTGCATTCAACAGGGTTATTCAGTACAAGAAGGCTTCGTTCCCGGTGAGTAATTTCGAAACCGCGCCGATACAGTGATGCTGATAGTGTAATAGGCGAGTGAAGATGACCACAAGCTGGGCGTTGAGTTCAACGAGAAGCTCCCTGGCTGGATCGATGAAGGAAAGATCAAGCCTAACAAACCAAAGGTTCTTAGTGGGCTGGATGCTATTCCACAGGGGTTCCAGGAACACAGGGATGGTAAGATTTCTGGTTTCAAGATTGTGTATGAGCTATAGGTCCTAAGATAGGTAGCTACTGAGTTTCTGGTTCATTCTGTATGGGAGCTATGAGAGAATATATCGTTCAAGTTCACTTGTCGTTTTTCAGAGTCATGATTATCTAGGTAGGTACCTAGGTAGGTAGGTAGGTAGGTAGGTAGGCTTTCCATGGTGAAATGATACTGCAGCGGATGAATCGGTCACCAGGGTACCAGAAAAGTTGGCCTCCAAGCTTTAGGCTACAAAAATAAGCAACCTAAGAAGTCTGATCCAAATGACATAAACTGATGTACTTATTTCGTCTCTTATGCTAACAGCAGCCAACTTTTCTGATACCTGATGTTGGTGCATGTGAATCGTGGCTGCTATTTGTGGCTTTTAAAAAGTCCAAAGAGATCGAAGGGTCAAATGACAGGGGTCGTCCCCGTTAGTACCTTGCAGTGGGGAGCATCCTCACCTAAAATCGTTTGGCTCAGAGGAAGAGGACACTTGTGCTAGCTCCTGACCCGACCTACATACAGTATCGAACAGAACACTCCCTATCTTACCCACAGCGTGACGGCGACTTTGACAGCGACCACTGTGGTCAATTTCTCTACTCCTACCTATACCAACACCTGATCGTACTACAACGGTCAAAAACAGTGTGCGCCCAATCCAGCCAGTTTTATAATTGGCCTCTCTCGAGACCAGATATAGCTTCATCATGCGGCTGTCCTCACTATCAGCGGCGCTCCTCGGTGCGTTCGCATGGACTACCAGCGCTGCCGAGTTCGATGACGAGAACATCAGGAGTATCTCGGTATGCTCTCTATCCTCTGTTGGTTAACATGTAGAGCTCCTTTGCTAACTAACCTTCTTTGCCATGTAGCTCAGGACACATTCCTTGACCCAGGTTAGTTGCGCCGCATGCACGCAAGCATAGAATTCAAGGATCGGCAGATTGGTTAACCTTCGTCCTCAAACAGCCCTACCTCGACTCGGATATGCAAAGCCGCTGGTACGACTTTGGCGGAGATACCATTATTCGAACCGACTCGTACGCTCCCCCCCCCCCCCGATTCTCTGATAACAATATGACAATACTTGGAACATTGGGTTGACTTGTTACAGGTACATCCGACTTACTTCTGATCGTCCTTCGCAGTCGGGATGGATGTACTCGCGAGTACCCCTCACTGCGACAAACTGGCAGGTTGAGGTTGAGTTCAAGATTTCGGGCAAGAACCAACTCTACGGTGACGGTTTTGCTATGTGGATTACCCGCCAGCGCGCGCAGCAGGGAGCTGTTTTTGGCGGACCCGACAACTTCGAGGGCCTCGGAATCTTCATCGATACCTACAAGAACAACCGCCCCGGTGTCGTTTTCCCTTATGTTATGGCCATGTACGGTGATGGAAAGACCTCTTACGACAAGTCCAATGACGGAAAGCACACCGAGCTTGCTGGCTGCTCTGCGCGCGGTATCCGACATGCAAGCATCCCCACCAAGATGCGCCTTACCTACTTCCAGGACAAGCAGCTCAAGCTGGAGCTCCAGTACAAGGTTGAGGATGAGTGGCAGACATGTTTCGATCTTGAGGAGCCTCCGGCTGTTCCCAACATCGCCTACGTCGGTTTCACTGCCGAGACGGGCGAGCTCAGCGACAACCACGATATTATCTCCGTTGCCGCCAAGAACTTGTACACTCAGCCTGGCACCGGTGGTAACACTGGCAGCAAGTCCTCCAGCAGCAAGAGCAAGTCACGCAAGGGCAGTAGCAAGACTACAAGCGGTCAGAAGCAAGGCAGCAGCTGGACATGGTTCTTCACCAAGATCATCCTGTTCATCATCGTTGTCGGTGGCGCGTACGTGGGCTACACAGCCTACCGATCCAAGGCCAAGTCGCACAGGTTCTAAGCCGATAGAAATGAATTGTATCGAACAGACCAGTGGTGAGGAAAAGGGAGAGATGGGACTGGGTTGATGAGGTCCACACGAGTCTCTGCTCAGAGGACAAGGTCTGGGTTTCCTTGGATCTTTTACATATAGGAGGGAGGCTGATGGGAAGGACACAAGCCGGTGAAGCATTGTGAGTACCTTTGACGAAAAATCAATCTATTTTTTTGTTGTGTTACGAAAATCGTGTGGTGATGATCAGATTATCTATGTTGAGACCCTTGCGTGGTGACAACTAATGGTAACGTTCGAAGAGGATATCTACGTACCTAAGTATGTAGACAGATGTCGGTTTGGGTCTTGGTTTCCGCCCTAAGCGGCTCGAACCAACCGCTAGGACAGTTTCTCCAAGCAAATGTAGATGCCGGCGCAATATTCATTGCGCTATCGTTGTTACGTCTTCGATCGAATGTCTCCGGAAACGGTCAACTTTAGGGTAGGACCACTTCAAAAGTGCTGGTCGTGTTTCATTTTGCCTAGACGGATATTTCATTAGGTATGTGGTTGGAGATCTAAGAAGTCCGTAAAACAGTTTTGATTCACTCTCCTTGTGTTTTTATAGTATGGAAAAATAGATGTGCTTCCGGTGAGTGCATACAGTTAGGTTTTGACTTCACTCTCAGAAGACCCTGGCCTCAGATTGTTAGAAAAGCTACGGCTTGAGAGTAAGTTACCTTATTATGCTCTTTCACACTGATGTAAGCAAAGCCACCTTGATACAA